GAATGGCGGACGCATCCTCGGGACGCTCCCGAGGGCGTCTCGCCCGCCCGCGGTCGAGGGGGGAATCCGCGCAAGCGGAGACCCAGACAAGCCCCAGAAAGAGGGGCTCCGACCCGGGGCGCGCAGGCGGGAGTCTCTTTCTCAGCCGAAAGGTCGGAAATCGAGCCTCTCCGCCATGCCCCAATGGACCTTGCCACGTAAGCGACCCCGCACGGGGTTTAGCGGAGCCGCCTGTGGTCACTGAGTGATGAAGCGAACAAACGGTGAAAAAGAAAAAAAGCGGCTGAAACTGTGAGTTGTCAGACATCGAGAAAAAGACTTAAGCGCGCTCCCCCCCCCAGCGAAAAGATTTAAGGGAGGAGGAGGGGAATCCTTCACTCTCGCAAACTGAGTTCCTTAGCGAAGAAAAGGGGGGGGAGAATGGAATGTGAGAAAAGATTTGGTTCCTTTTGGTGCATAACAAGAAAAGGCTAGAAGATTTCCGCATTTAAAAAAAAATGTTGCATGAACTTAAACAAAAGTAAACAAAAAAACAAAACAAGATGTCGGATCTGGACTGAAAAATTAGCGAACAAGAAGGGAGGAGCTTCTGCCGTGGGCGTTTTATCTTTTGTATGAGCCGGCTGTTTATTAACTGGATTGCGAGTGACTGTGACCTTGACTGGGAACTGTGAGAAATGAACACTGTGACAAGCGTGAAAGTGCCCTCAAAAGCGCTTTTAAAAGTCAACAGTTGCGGAGGAAAGGTCTGGCTAAGAGAGAGGCAGCGTTTAAACTTAAGCGAAAGCTAGAAAAAGGAAAATCCACTCTCAAAGCCAAAGACCTTTTGAAAAGGCACGACAGAGCAAGGATTGTGGCATTTGCAGCTTGTAAACAGAGAAAACAGCGACCCGGAGGAGGAGACGAGAAGCCGGAGAGAATTAAGCGGAAGAGGTTCCTTCTTGAATATGGAGGTGAAGCCAGTCCCTAGAAGATCGGTTCGAAAAGCGTTTGAAAAGACTTTATTAACAGAGCACCATTGGGACACTAGTAATATACTAACATAGAAAATGTGTTTGAAGAAAGAAGTTTGACAACACACTGAAGAAGCAAAAGAAGAAAATTTTAATAGTACTGATTAATATACTAGTTAAAACATCACTCAGCTTTCTCTTGATCCCACTATATACTCTCCCTTTTTTCCAATTAAGCGAAATATCTCTCCTTTTTAGGAGAGGGAATAAAGCTCTTAAATAAAAAAAAAATTTAAAAGACACCTGCTCCTTGGGAGGAAAGCGATGGAGAACCTAAACAGCATGATAAAAAGTAGAGTCATCACCCTGCCAACAAAAGTCTGCATGGTCAAAGCAATGGTATTCCACCATAATTTCCTACCAAATTAAAACATTAATAAATAGCTTAAACTAATTTGCCCAACTCTAGTATTCCCCTCATCCTTAGTTTTTAAATTGTGCATACTAAGCCTTTCCTAATCCCACCTGAGTTTACTCTATCCTATACCCACCACCATTCTACTGTAACAAATAAATAAATACATAAATAGATAATACAAGCTAAGTTAAGGGTCATTTTTCCATTTCATCCTATATTCAGAGAAAACCAGACTTTCTATCTTTTATATAGTTTGTTCTTCCTTCTAATTATTTGCAATCTTCTTTTCTGCCTCAGCATGTCTACTTGTCTTCGTTCTTTATTCATTCCTTGTCTTCCAATTCTCCCCTCTCTCGTTTTCAGCCATTCTATTTCCCCTATTTTGTTGTTGTTTCCTTTAAATTTCCAAGCCCGACGTTTCCTTCTTATAACCCTTCTGTCTCTTTCTCTTTCAATTTTCACCCATTGTTTCAATTTTCACCCATTGTTTCTTTTCCTTTGACAGTCCTGACTTAACACAAGATACTAACAATAGGGTTTCCCCCTCCTTTTTGCACTATTTCACCCAATAGTAGCTGAGTTTTTGCATTGTTCTTCACATTTATCAACTCCAAATTTTCCTCCCCTTCCTGAACGCTGTTCTCCTTTTGGCAGTCCTCTATGGTCTCCTTCACATTAGGTTGCTCCTGTTTTTCCACCTTTTCAATTTCTGTCTGTGCATTATGCTTTTTTTCCAACAGTCTCGCGCATGCCTCTTCACAACCGTTTTGAACTGCCTCTTTCAACATATTAAGGAGTTGCTCGACCGTCATCTCGCACACATACATATTCTCGTCGAGCTCTTCCTCCGTATTCATCTTGCATTCCATTTTAAACCAGCTCTTCAAATCAAATTATTCAGATTCCAACCGCTTTACTCTCATATATTCTATATATTTTTTAATCAGTCCTTTCCCTTTTTGTAAGTCCTTGACACAAATCCAATACGTTACAAAGACACCAACAGAGAGTCCTTCTCTTCCCCATATCAATTTCCACTCCACAATTAAGTCCCAAAAGTCTCCCGGCCGCCATCACTCTCAAATCCGGACACTTTCGCTTGGGGGCTTTCCCTTTTTCACTTAACATTCCAAAATAGTCTTACTCACACTTTGCTTTTTCTCTGTTACTGCGGTTATTTTGGATTCTCCATATAATTAAAAGGACGGATGGCAACCATGTTCCTTCCAAAACTCGTCTCTGCTTTGGAGCCGTTCCGGTCATCCCCCCGCTTTACCGAAACACGGGAGGGGCCATAAAAAAACGCCCCCTGCTCCAGCCCTCTCTCTGGGAGGGCTGGTCGAGCTCTCCCAACAGACGGGAGGCCTGAAAGAAAACGAAAGTGGATCGGGCTGCTCGGAGCAAGCCGAGCATCCGCCCGTCGACGCGCCGTACCGGAACCTCATTTGGATGATAATTCAAAATGAGTTTGGGCAGTAATAGGTTCTTTCTTTTTTTCTTCCTTTCTTCTTTGGCCTATTTTTTTTAGATAAAAGTAATATAAAGGTTATTAATCAAGTGATAACAAAATAGAATTTATGATTGTAAGAGCAATTAAAGATTAATTAAAACAAAAGATAATGAATTGATATGATAATGGAATAAGTCCTAATATAATTAGAATGATTTGACTTGCTTATGGTAATGGTAAATATTTAATGGTGTGGAGTGATATTAGAAGGTTAAGGGGGGAGGTAAGTAGATTCTATTGTAACAGTTTAGTATGATGTATGGTGGTTGTAGATTGAATATGGTTGAATAAAGATAGGTAAAGCCCAGGTAGACTAATAATTTAAAGATAATGGTATAAATAAAATGTAAAAATTCAAGTTGGAAAATAGGATAGTAAATTCCTTAGTTAAATACGTTACAAGGGCACTCAGGAGATGTTTAATGAATTTAAAGAGTGCAACGATTGATAGAAAAGTAAAAAGTGTATTAAAAGAAATTGAATTTAAAAATAAGTTAAATATTAAACCCTGTTCTCATATTGGAAACAAAGAGTCAGCAGTTTACTGGAGGATGGATATAGTTATGTGTAAAGTTAAGTTTGAAGGTTCTATATTATGGATAGGAATTTTGTAATAGATTTCTGAAAAGTTAGTAAGTAAACTTTAAGAAAATTGTAACAGTAGGTTTTACTCAACACAGATGAGATATTTAAATTGAAGATAAGTTCAAAATATGCATGTAAATGTAGCTTGACTTGTTTATTACTCTGTGCTGATGGTAAAGATAAGTGTTGTTATAGGATCTTATATGTAATCTTGTTGTTGACTTGGTTGGTATGTATGAGATAGGCTGATATTATAAACCCAAATAAATATACTGATTAAAAAAAAAAAAAAGAAATGGTATTCCCCTGGAAGGCCAGATAATGAAACTGAAGCTCAAATACTTTGGCCACCAAATGAGAAGGGAGCACTCACTGGAGAAGACCCTGATGCTGGGAAAGATTGAAGGTCAAAGAAGACGGGGCCGGAAAAGGATGAGATGGTTGGACAGTGTCATGGATGCAACGAACATGAAATTGAGCGGGCTTCGGAGGATGGCAGAAGACAGGAGGGCCTGGCGTGATCTTGTCCATGGGGTCACGAAGAGTCGGACTCGACTGTGCGACTGAATAACAAATATATATATAAAATAGTAACAAGAAAAGTTCAAGAATGAAGAGGGAAGGGAACGAAAAAGAGAAATGTATACTTAGCTGAGGCAAGTACGGAGCGACAGAAACGAGGTGTGAACACACAGGCGGTCAAAGAAGAACTGAGTGGGAGGCGGCTCTCTCCCCCGCTCCAGGCATGCGCAGTATGTGCCCGCTCCCCAGGGCGGGAAGAGAGCCCGCCAAAAGCTTTCTGAGGCAAAGCTCTGGAAGTTTCTCCAGTCGAGGTCATGCGCCGGCGCCCAACCCATGTGTGGGACTGCACAGAGACCACGACGAAGATCTCTGTGTTCCTTAAAACAAAATAATGAAACCAAGTTTCTAGTCCTCAAGGTTGCCATGCCGGCCTGACTCCTAGTCTCGGCCCTGGTAGCAGAGGCAGACGGTACAGAAGAAACAAGCATGCAAATATCCTTGATAACAAGAATTTCAATTGCTTTGGATTCAGCCGCATACGGAGCCCCGGCCTGCACACCGGACTTCCTTTCCACAAACAGGAGAGTTAGAAGCATGACTTTTTGCTGCACAGTGCAGAAGGCAAGGAGTCTTGCAATTCTCGAGCATGACATACGCAATGCCACGAGGGGAAAGGGAGCATGAGGTGGACGGAAGCAGGACCATGAAAATGGAGCTGGTGAAAAGTGGACAGGAAGGTGCCGGAAAGAGCACCGGTGAACCACGCTAGGCGGCGAGCTAAGCAGACGGGAGCAAAAGCAAGACGGCTAAAGCAACAAAAACACAAAACACAAAGAGGAAAAACAGAAGACATGCCACACGTCTTTTTTTTTTTTTTTAATTCTGCAGTGCACTTGTTTTAATCATTTCAGAGAGAGACGAGGCAAGAGACAAAAGAATGCACTTTCCTGGTGCTAGAAGATCACTTTCCCCGGCTCGGGGTTCGCGTGGGTGCTTTCTGCCAGTCCCTTACCCGCTGACGGAGATCCGTAATCATGGCCGACAGGTCCATGTTCTTCTTCTCATAACTCTTAAGCTGATCCTGACACTCGGCCAGTTTGGTCTCCGTGATCCTCAGGATGTCGGGAAGCTTTTCCAACTCGGCAACCTGACTCTGGAACTGCTTACGAGCCTGTCGGAGGAGGAGGAGGAAGGGGGAAGGAAGGCAGCGATTAAAAACAGCCCAGGGCATTTATGGCCTGTCTGGGCATTACCGAAAGATCCACTTTTGCCCTCTAAACCTCACAGGGGCCCTTCCCCATGGCTGCGCAGAAACCTGCAGCATCCCTGCTCCCTGTTCCCCTTGTAAAGGAGGGAGGAGCACACTAGTCACACGCGCTGGGGGGAGATCAGGTGGCGAGGGTCTTTTTCATCGCGCTTTTCAACCGAAAAAGTCATCTCTGTAAACGGTCCAATGGAAGTGGCCACTGAAATGCAATAAAGATGTTGCAGTGAGAGCTGGACCGGGCACCAGGCCGGGCCGCCGCCTCCTGACCTCATTCTGATGGTCCCACGGAGGTCAGCTGGAGAGCGGAATGGGGAAGGGGCCACTGTGCTGGATGTGCAACCAGGCACAATGGCGATAGTGAAGGATCAGGTGGTGGGTGCTGCAAGAGACTTCTCTAGGGGAGCTTTTGGAGAGCGGCTGCCTGTCGAAGCAGACAAAGGTGAGCTTGATAGACCAAGGGTCTGATCCCACATAAAGCAGACTGATGCGTCTAGATTCTGCCACAACGATCCATTAGAGAGGGTCCTCTATATTACTTCTACACGTTAATCTACATAATAAATATAGTGAGTCAGACAATTAGACCATCTAGCTCGGTACAGTTTATGCTGACTGGCAGCAAGACCCCAGAGTCTCAGATGGGTGTCGTCCCCAGCCCTGCTCCTGGGAACCAGAGGTGTTCTGAGTTCAGTCTATAGACCAGGGGTGGCCAAACTGTGGCTCGGGAGCCACATGAGGCTCTTTCACAAATATTGTGCAGCTCTCAGCAGGGCGGCTGGGGAAGCGAAGGGGAGGCATGCTTTTTCTCCCTCCCACCTATTTGCTTTCTTTGTTTCTCTCTCTCTCTCTTTCTTTCCACCTCTTTCATTTTTTCTTCCCACCTCTCTTTTTCTTTCTCTCTTAGACAAATAAATACCATTAGCAAACAAGTAAATATCATTGGACAAATATCATTATCGATATCTGCTTTTACCCCTTTTGTTTTTATTTCTGGCAGTCTCGTCTAATGTTAAGAAAAAGCAAATTTGCATATCTTTAAATAAAAATGTGTTGTGTGATATTTGTTCATGTCTTGCGGCTCTCAAATATCTGACGTTTATTCTATGTGGCCCTTACAGTGAGCAAGTTTGGCCACCCCTGGTCTATAGCCTGCACGCTGTAGTGTCCTGGCCCCACTGCTGGACCTCCTGATGGCACCTGGTATTTTTGGCCACTGTGTGATGGAGTGTTGGACTGGATGGGCCGCTGGCCTGATCCAACATTGGCTTCTCTTATGTTCTTATGGTCACATGCTCCTTCATTGAGGTGTTTATTTAGGAAAATGCCTAAAAGATATTTGCATCTTGCCTTTAAAAAAAAAGAAGGATCTTCAAGGCTCACAACTAGACCAAACCCTCGCTGCGACCTGGACCCAGGCCACTGATGGCTCCAAGATCCCAAAGTACCAATGTTTGGAAATGGCCCGGAAACCAAACAGAGGCCATAGCAAACTGGCAGCGTGCATTCCAGTTCCAGTCCACGCTCTGGCAGCTGCAGTTTGGATCAAGCTGTAGTTGCTGAACCCTCTTCCAAAGACAGCCCCCATGCAGAGGATGGGACAGAGAAGAATCTAAGCGTCCCCTGGCAGCCATGATGTACACATGAAGCTGCCTTTTATTGAATCTGACCCTTGGTCCGCCAAAGTCCGTTTTGTCTACTCAGACGGGCAGCAGCTCTCCAGGGTCTCAGGCAGAGGTCTTTCACATCACCAACTGATAACCAAGGCTGTACCAAAGCTAGGTCCTTTTGAGTGAGTCCCTGACACAGCTGGAGAGCCGGCTTCAGGTGGGAAAAGGCACTCCTGGCAGCCACAGCAATATGGGCGTCCAGGAGCAGCACCAGATCACAGGATGCACCTCAACTGGGAACACGAGTGTTCCTGGGGAACGTATTTTGTGCTCCTGCTCCTGAATCACAAAGATTCAGCCACCCAGCATCACTTCCATCTGGTCAGGATTACATCTGTTTGTTCACCTTCACCCAGTCTCGGAGCTGAAGCACCAGTCAAGGACCTCAGCTGTGCTCTCCGGGTTGGACAGAAAGAGAGAGAGAGAGAGAGAGAGAGAGAGAGAGAGAGAAGGGGTGCAGGAGCAAGGCATCACCCACACGGCCCTTCTAGCTCACAGCCGTCCTTAATTGCAGCACTTCTCCAGGTCTCGGGCAGGAAGAGTCGATCTCTGCCCTGTCGCCCAAGATAATTTTACTACCTGGACATGTCGGGAATGGAACCTGGGCCCTTCTCCACTGAATTACAATACCAGCCAACAAGAGATGAGCAGACTGGTGATACTCACTCAACAGCTCAGGAGCCACCTGTGGCTATTCTGAGCCCCGTTCCCCAACGTGGCACCTGCCCCATTTGGGGCTTGTCGCTGGCAGGCGGCACTGGGCCCTTGCCCAGTGAGGCTTGTCGCTGGCCGGTGGTTCCCACCTTGAGACAGCCACCACCAGAAGAACAGGTGAGCTGTGGGCCTCCTTGAGGTGCAGCCGTCATGCTAGGGGTGGAAGTTCGTGCGCCCTATTGGTATGCTGCCAACTGAAAGTGCAGCTCCTTGCAATCTAGAGTAAGCCCTAGAATGTATCAGCAGCAACTCAGCAAGGCCTTCTGTAGTCTATTCATCCACAAACATCATAGTCTCAGGACAATTCTCTGTGCCCACACAAGACGCAACACGCACACACACACACACTGCTCTTTTTCCAAAGAAGAAATGTCATGTCTGTGAAACATCACAAATCCTCAGACTTCGTGTCGAGGCGGCATGCCAGATGTGCACTTACATTTTCAATCTCTTTGCTCATTTCTTCTTTAAGTGATTTGTTCTCTTTGTCACAGAGCTCCAGTTTCACCGTCACCTCATCGGCTTCCATTCGGGTTTTCAATACCTGGGCACGGAGATTACAAAATAAAGATGGTGGCTACAACGTGCAACGTGTGTCATTCACATGGCTACTCTTGCTTCAACCAGCTGTCAGGATGCAACTCACGTCTGTTGTTAGGATGTACCATCCATCCCCCCCCCGCCAATGTTAGCAAAGTATTTTATTTTTATATTTGTACCCTGCTTTTCCAGATGTTCAAGACTGATTACACTATATCAACATTAAAGGTAAAGGTAAAGGTTCCCTTGCTCGAAAGCCAGTCGAATCTGCCTCTAGGGTTGCGGTGCTCATCTCCGTTTCCAAGCCAAAGAGCCAGCGCTGTCCGAAGACGTTTCTGTGGTCATGTGGCCGGCATGACTAAACACCAAGGCGCACCGAACGCTGTTACCTTCCCACCGAAGTGGTACCTATTTATCTACTTGCAATTTCTTGCTTTCGAACTGCTAGGTTGGCAGGAGCTGGAACTAGAGACGGGAGCTCACTCCATCATGCGGCACCCGGGTCTCGAACTGCTGAACTACCAACCTTCCACAGCCTGCAGTTCAGCGTCTTAACCACTTGAGCCATAAAGCATAAAGCATAAGAAAAGCATACAAGCCTTGCCAGGAAGTTGACCAACAAAATGATGAGTATTTAATGGTGCCGTTCCAAAAATTTAAATGGCACTTAAGTGGAGGAAGAGGAGGAAGCAATTTATACCCGTTCTCTCCTTCTACCAGAGACACCCCAATTCTACTCCTTACACTACTCCTGATCCCTAAAACAAAATGGGGAGGTGCTCAGTGGGAATGAGAAGCAAGTTTCAGGCTACAAAGTCCCTGGTCAGTTTACATTGGTGGTGGAAAGTTGCATCAAGGTTTTCAGTGCAAGAGATGTTCAGAGGTGGTCTGTCACTGCCCTGCCTCTGGATAGCGGCCCTTGACTTCCTCTGTAGTCTCCCATCCAAATACTAACCAAAGCCAACCTTGCTTAGCCACAAGCCTGGGCCATCCACGCCAGGACCATGGTACATTACCATCTCCAAAACAGACAACACAGACTTTTAGCTAAAAGCCACTTTTTACAAGACCTTCTGTGGGTCTTAGTGGATGTTAACTGCCACTTAGCTGATGTTCTCTGGTTGGTCATTCTCTGCAACAGTGCAGTGACCCAAATGGGCCCATGTTTTTGCTTGTGTGCATCTGTTTTTTGGCAGAGGAGGAACAGACCAGCCACACGGATGTCACAGTCGGACAGGAACCAGGACCGGAGTGGGCCCTGATGGACCCATACCAACTGCACCTTGTCCATAACCAGAGAAAACTGCACTTCAACTGCAGGGCAGAAAATAAGTTCCACAGATAACCATCCCTGCATCTTCACTGGACATCAATCCCTTTGCACAGAGCGGAATGCCTTTCTGTGCACACGAAGCATACATGAGCAGTATAGACGCCAGCTACAGAGCAGCGGTCATGGCCATTGTCTTGCTTTTGTGCAAACGTGGCCCAGATGTGTGCCATTTAATTCCCACAAAAATTTCCCTGGAGCAAGTTCTGCAAAACGAACTAGCCAAGATCACATCATAAACACCCCATCTATTTTATGATGGGAGCACAGAAGAGCAGATCTTGATCTCATTCGCACACTTTGGCTCAACATCCAGAAGAGTACTTGCCAAAGAAATCGGCACACACGCAGTTACCAAACCACCGACTGCGTCCTCCCCGGCCAGTCTGTACACCACAACACCCGACATAGAGACGACACCCCAAGAAGGGAAAAGAGGAGAGTCCAGACACCATACCTGATTCTTGTAGGTTTCAATCAGCCCTTCATAGTTCTTGAGTGACGATTTGAGCTGGGCCACTTCCAGCTGCGCTTTATTCAGCTTCTCCTCCAGAGGAATCATGCTATTCTGGAGGAAACCACAAAGGCAACAAAAGCATGGTCATTCAGAATGCAGGATTTGCTTACATGCCAGGCGGGACTCAATCCATGGCACGCAAGATCAAAAATGCCGTTTCTCAGTCAGGGCTTAGGACATTCCCTGAACCAGCCTCCGTCGAAGTGAATGGAAGTTACTCAAAAGGCTCGGAGCCCAGCCCACCCCCAAACACACGTGTGAAACCCATGGCGGCTTGTGTTTCCGAACACGCACGGCTTAAAGCTGCTTGCCTCTGAACCCGGAGGTGGAGTGGAGCTGCTTGCCTGCTACAATTCCCCCTCCTCTCGGGGCTCGGCTTCATGAGCTCACCCGCACAGAGCAGCAGCCATGACTTTACAGTTTGTCATTTCAGGTGTCCTGCCAACCACAGTTAGCACCAACCATGGTTTCCAAACAAACCGTGGTCTGTCACCTGGCACCTCAATTCAGATGTCATCCTATGAGGTTTTGCTCGATAAAAATAATGAGTTAAAATCACAAGAAATGTTACAATCACAGGGCATACAGCTCTCATGGTGGGAAAGATTACAACTGCAGTCACGGTATCAGAAAGATAAGCAGCTAGGTTTCGCCAATACCAGGTCAGAACTTGATAAAATTTTGTTAGGTCCCGAGGACAAACTGATTCGGAAACTATATGCAGTACTATTAGATTATAAGATGCAGTACTATTAGATTATAAGATGCAGGATTAAGGCAACAATGATAGAATGGGGGAAAAATGTTGGGCACGCTATTTCGTTTGAAAAATGGGAAAGGATAGGGAGGAATATGAAGTGGCTAAAGGCTATCCCACTGAAAGAGAATGCATTTAAAATGTATCACCGCTGGTATCTTACACCTGATAAACTAGCCTGTTTTTATCCTGGTATTAGCAAGAAGTGTTGGAAATGTAATACTAAAGTGGGCTCTTTCTATCATACTTGGTGGACCTGTGAAGAAGTAAAGAAGTATTGGAAAGAGGTGCATAGGATTATAGTGCAGGTATTGGGCGTTCAGATAGCGTTGGATCCCGAAATCTTTCTGCTAAATATATTAAAGGTAAAGGTTCCCTTGCTCGAAAGCCAGTCGAATCCGACTCTAGGGTTGCGGTGCTCATAGCCGTTTCAAAGCCGAAGAGCCAGCGCTGTCCGAAGACGTTTCCGTGGTCATGTGGCCGGCATGACTAAACACCAAGGTGCACGGAATGCTGTTACCTTCCCACCGAAGTGGTACCTATTTATCGACTTGCAATTTCTTGCTTTCGAACTGCTAGGTTGGCAGGAGCTGGAACTAGAGACGGGAGCTCACTCCGTCATGCGGCACCCGGGTCTCGAACTGCTGAACTACCGACCTTCCACAGCCCGCAGTTCAGCGTCTTAACCACTTGAGCCACCGCAGCTCCTGCTAAATATATTACCGGACAATTTAAAGAAAAATGACAAATATCTCCTCCTTCATCTGGTAACAGCGGCAAGGATGACGATGGCCAAGCATTGGAAGAAAGAAGAACTTCCTCATAAACAGGACTTTATAACAAAAGCTCTGGAAGTGGCTGAGATGGACAGTTTAACTCAAAAGCTTCGTGATAGAGAAGATGGCGCCTCTCTAAATACTTGGGTGAAATTTTATAACTGGATTGATAAGAAGAACATCCTAGTTTAGAAACTTCTGTAAAAATAGGAGGGGGGGAAAGGTTGCAAAGCTGTATGACCCGCTTCTCTGTTTGTTTTTGTTTGTCTCTTGGTTTGTTTTGATGGACTAATAATATATGGGGGGAAAAAATTCAGATGTCATCCCAAGCTATAGTCAGGCTTCCTCAGTCCTGGTTTGAGACAGTGTCTGCTTTAAGCTGAGAGTAGCAGCTCCTGTTCACTTTAACCAGGCTTCTGCAGGAGGCGTTCCTGAAGGGCTACGACCACACCCGCTCTGGAGTCCCCAGCCCCGTCCCACTGACCTTCAGCCTCTCATTCTCCAGCTTGAAAGAGGTGCTCTCCGTGACCTGCCGATGCAGTTTGTCCACCATGGAATCTCTGTCTTCCCGCATCTTGCCTTCTATACTATTCTGCTGGTCGAGAAGGTCTGTAATTCGGCTGCCACACAGCAAGGGAGAAAAGAACAGGATTAGCCCAAGGAAGAATGCAGCAGCTATAACTCAGTGCAGGATTACAGATGTGACACATCGGTTTGTTTACTACTCCTTTTGTCTATTGGGTGATACGTGACTAACAACAGCTACCCACTGCTCAAGATCCATGTGTCAGAGCTTTTATTGGATAAAGGGAAAGGAAAGGAAGATGTGACGCATCTTACGCCTCCTTGGACCAGCAAAGACTGCCTCAGCCACACAGATCTTGAGGGAGGGTTTTGAAACGCAGAACAACTCTCCAAAGACACGCATTAAGAATGAAAGACAAAATGTGCATGTTAGGACAACACACTGTTTTAGGATATTTTCTTAGGAGCTTAAGATGATGCAGGGGATGGACAAGGATCAGGGAGGCCAGCGTTCGAATCCTCGCCTGTGTGGGCCACTCGCCCTCAGCCTAACCTACCGTATACCGTGGAGGTGGAGAAAACCATCTAAGCCACCTGAGCTCCTTCAGTGGAAGGGCAAGAGGAAAATGTAAGGTATTCTATAATTCTTTTTTTAAAAAATCAAAAGTGGCCCTGCGCCACTCAGAAATGAAGGTGAAAGCAGGAAGAGAAGGAGGAGGAAGAGGAAGAAGAAGAGGAAGAAAAGGAGGAGGAAGAAGAAGAGATTGGATTTATACCCCGCCCTTCACTCAGTCTCAGAGTGGCTTACATTCTTTCCCTTCCTCTCCCCACAACAGACACCCTGTGAGGTAGGTGGGTCTGAGAGAGCTCTTTCGAGAACTGCCCTTGAGAGAACAGCTCTGACAGAACTTGTGACCAATGCTCCCTTTAATCTGTGGAGCAAAAGTTTTACTTTGTGAGCTACTAGTATTAAAGTTATGAGCGAGCGATTTGGCTACTGCATCAATTAGTTTGCTCTGGAGCCCTCCTTCCCGAGCAAAGACAAAAATGTGTGAGCTGGAGGCTAAAAAAAAACTGTGAGCTAAGCTCACACTAACTCAGTTTAGAGGGAACACCGCTTGTGACTGACCCAAGGTCTCACCAGCACCTGCACGTGGAGGAGTGGGGAATCAAACCCGGCTTTCCCAGATTAGAGTCCATGCTCTAAACCACTACACCAAACCGGCTCTCTTTTAGCAGCAAGAAGAACGTTGTCATCAATTTGAGCGGCCTCTCAGAGCACTGCAGAGTGATAGCCGGGAGCCAATTCAGTCCTGGCTGTCCACAAGAGGCAGGCATCCACACTCCACACCAAGGGTCCCCCAGCCTTCTCAAGCTTGCGGGCACCTTTGGAACCCTGACGCGGGGCGGTGGGCACAACCACAAAAGGGTCGCCGGCGGAGGCAGAGCCAGGCTTCAGGGAACGTCAGAGAGCAGCACAGTTACCTATAAACTCTTAACAGGACCTCTTCAACATTTCAGGCAGAAGCTCTGCTGAACAGGATGCCTTTACTCTGCACAGCCAATCAGAAACCCTCCCTGTTGGGCAAAAGCCCCGCCCAGCCACACCCGCTTTCTAAGGGCCCTGGGTGGGCATCAGGAAAGGTGCCAGCGGGTGCCATCGTGCCCACACGGATGACGTTGGGCACCCCTAGTCCACCCCCTTCTGCGGCAGGAATATTTCAACAGACAGCTGACGTTGGTATACTGCTTGTTGAAGGCAACTCTTGCATATCCAGGGGCTGCGCAACATGCTGCACAAATGTGGGGATGTGTGATGCAGAAGCCAACATCCAGAGGATCTCCTGCTTCTAACCCTGATTCATGCAGAAGAAAACTTGAAAATCTGATGATGGTGTCTATGCAGCTCCAGGGGGCCTGGGAGTGGCTAAGCATTCAACCACTTACAATAACACTCAGGCTTAGAATCACCCTCTATTCAGCTCTTAAGCATCCAAGGGATCAGTTTACTTACATCCCATTTTCAGGTGGCTTATAAGAGCATCCTAAAGTCCGGAGTCTACTGAGTGATTCATGTGGTACAGGGACATGAGTCCCTCCCGTCTCCTTAGCCAAGGGATTACAGAACAATGGGAGGAAAAGGACCATAAAACCTACTTTCGTGCACTAGTTTGTTATAGGAACAGGAAGCTATCTAGAACCAAACAGGAAGGCCACTTCCAGCCAACTGACCCTGAGGTTGCTAGAACTACAGTTCCCAGAATTCATTATATGTTTAAAGATACAGTAAACAATTTGCTATGCTTTACTATTCTGATCTCTGCTGGGGACAGCACAGCGACAAAAGGGAAGAGAGAAAAGAAGGGGGCACATTTCAGCACCTCCTATTCATTTCCCGGTCCATTTCCCCACGGCCTTTGCTCTCACCTGCCCTTTCTGCTACAGTTTAGCTCTGCCTGCCTCCCTACTTTCCTAACATAACCTGCCTCCTTTCCATTCCTTTGGCTTCTAGGCCAAGGAAACCTACAATCTTTGTTCACTTCGTGTTCGATTTGGCCTGAATAGCAAGCCAAGGCAAACCGGACGAAGGCAAAATGAGGCACGTCTGCTATTAGTAAAGCAGAACTTGGATTTCCTTTGGCACAGAGTGCCTGAAAGGGCAAAGAGCCTTGGCTGTCATCTTCCAGATGGGAACCACAAGTCACCCTGCTTCAGAGCGGAGTGCTGAGCTACAGCCCTCCGGCACCCGACCTAAGCTACTCCGAGAGCTGAACGCCAAAGCCCCACGACACAGCCCTCACCTGTTCAACATGACTATCTCAATCTCCAGATCACTTTTCTCTTTGACAACTTGGTTGTAGCGGCTTCTCCAAGATTCCAGGGTGGACAGCGCCTCAGTCACGTAGTTGTCCTGCCAAACGAACCGAGAAAGACGTGTGATTGAAAGTACGACTGAGCTGCAGCTCAGAGGCCTACGGGACACGGTAGCATTGATGCCTTGGTATGGAGGATGAAAACCAGGCAGCTCACCTGTAATGGATGTTCTTCGAATGATGCCCTACACTGCCCCTACGTGCAGGTCCTGCATTCAACCTTATAACGAAACTGAGGAATCGTCTCAGCTGTGGACTTACAGGGGATGGGAAAGTAAGCATCTTCTAGGCCAGGGGTGGCCAAACTGCGGCTCGGGAGCCACATGTGCCTCTTTCACACCTATTGTGTGGCTCCCAGTAGGGCAGCTGGGGAAGTGAAGGGGAGGCACGCCTCCCCGATCGGTCTTCCCTTCCCCAGCCAGTGTTCCTCTCCGACCTTCTTCCCCTCCCTCCTCCATCTATTTGCTTACTTTGTTTCTCTCTCCCTCTCTTTCACCCTTCTTTCCACCCTCCCCCATCTATTTGTTTCCTTCCTTCCTTTATCTCTCTCTCTCTTCCTTCTTCCCCCTCCCTCCCCATCTATTTGCTTTCTTCATCACTCTCTCTCTCTCCACTTTCATTCTTTCTTTACGCCTCTCTCTGTTTCTCTCTCTTAGACAAATAAATATCATTAGTAAACAAATAAATATCATTGGACAAATATCATTATTAATATCTGTTTTTACCCCTTTTGTTTTTATTTTTGGCAGTCTCATTTAATGTTAATAAAAATCATATTTGCATTTTTTCAATAAAAATGTGTGTAATATCTGTTCGCGTCTTGCGGCTCTCAGACATCCGACGTTTATTCTATGTGGCTCTTACGTTAAGCGAGTTTGGCCACCCCTGCTCTAGGCCGATGGCTAGCAAGGGTAGGGTACCTGAGATTATCATTTCCTTAAAACTACTGCACTCCTTCAATTACAAAGAAACAGCTAACTCCAATGCTTCCTTTCACCACAGTGGCAAAGAAGACCAAGGGGGGAGTTGGCATGCCCTCTGCTCCTCCTCACGTTAGAAAAGGGCAGAGAAGAACCATCTTATGCTACGAAGGAGCGAGAGTTTTCTGCAGCTAGCACTGCACCGACGCAGCTGCCATAAGGGAATACACAAAAACCATCACAAAAACGCAATAGCCACAAGCGGTCTTTGTGCCCTCCTGTTCTGGAGACAACACACAGCAGAGCTTCTTGGAGAGTGCATTCGATTCCCTGACTCTGCCACAACTGTCTGAGACAGAGCTCCCCAACCTTATTGAGCCTGCAGGCACTTTTCACATTCTGACACAGCCTGTTGGGCACAGCCACAGAATGGCTGCCAAAGAAATGACTGCTGCAGGCAGAGGACCCAGCCACACCTTCGGTCACACAGTGAAAACCTCTTGTGCTGCGGTGGCAACTGCTGCCAAAGCAATGCTTTAAAAAATATGCACTGCCGAGTGCCAAGGAAATCTCCAGTGGCCAATAAAAACCTTTGCTGGGCAAAAATCCTCTAGCTAGCCCTGCCTACTTTCTAAAAATACTTGGCGGGCGTCAAGGAAGGGGTCTGCAGGCGCCAGGGAGTCCATGGGCACCATGTTGGGGACCAGTGTTCCCTCTAAGCTGAGTTAGTGTGAGCTGGCACACAGTTTTTTAGCCTTCGGCTCACGGATTTTTGTCTCAGCTCAGGAAGGATGGGCTCCAGAGCAAACTGATTTATGCAGCAGCCAAATCGCTCGCTCACAACTTTAATGCCAGTTTGCTCACAAAGTAGGATTTTTGCTCACAAGACTCCACAGCTTAGAGGGGACATTGTTGGGGACCCCTGCTCTAAGAAGTAACAGAGCGACAGTCACCTTTTCCGCCAGCTGGGCGTTCAGCTGTTCTGCATATTCTTCACTCCTCTCCGCTCGATCTTTCTGAGCACGGATGGCGTTCTTCAGCACCTCTTTTTCACGGTCCACTTTGTCTTTCATCTCCTTCAGCTGTTCCATGATATGCTCCACCTCTGCCTTGTGTTGAGACCCAGCACGCTCCAGATTCTGGGAAAGGACAGGCAATGTTCAGGAGGCCCAAAGGGCCTGAGCTTCAACCAGGAAGGAGGAGGAGGAGGAGGAGGAGGAAATTGGACTTATACCCCACCCTTCACGCAAGAGTCTCAGAGTGGCTTACAAACTCCTTTCCCTTCCACTCCCCACAACAGACACCCTGTGAAGTAGGTGGGGCTGAGACAGCTCCGAAAGAACTGCTCTTTCAAGAACACCTCTGACAGAGCTACGGCTTGCCCAAGGTCATCCAGCCAGGTGCAAGTGGAGGAGTGGGGAATCAAACCCGGTTCTCCCAGATTAGAGTCCGCGCACTTAACCACTGCACCCGACTGGAGATAACGCTCCCTCCCACCACGCATGCACACTTTGCATGTGTGTCACATACCATCGCCGCAGCCAACGTATGGTGACCCTGTAAGGTTTTCAGGGCAAGAGACGAACAGAGGTGGTTTGCCGTTGCCTGCCTTTGCGTATCAACCCTGGACTTCCTTGGTGGCTTCCCATCTAAGTGCTAACCAAGACCGACCCTGCTTAACTTCTGAGATCTGTTGAGATAAGGCTGGCTAGCCCGGCCACCCACTTTGCACGCGGTCCATGAAACTCCTGTTTCAGAAAACCTGATTCGATGGAGCATACGCAAGACTCCAAGTCAGACCACTAGACCCTCTGGCTGAGTACTGTCTGCTCTGAGGAAGTCTTGGGCACAGAGAGGGCTCTTGTAACATCTTTATCTGAGATTCCTCCTTTTTTAAAAAAAGAAGAAGTCAGGTGACTCCTCTCCCCACTTGAGATTCCTCCTGAGAAGGACGGAACCTGGAACCTCACACTCTTGTCACCGAACACGGCATGAACATGTAAGGTCGCTTGAGGTCAAATCAGACCCCTGGTCGAGACCACTTAGTGCATTCCTAGCAGTGACTCCCAAGGGTCTCAGGCAGATAAAAGTTTTCCCTAACAATTGCCACTTGAGGCCCACTAACTGAAGATGCCCAGGACTGAACCAGGAACCTTCTGCATACAAAGATGCACCACTACTGAGCTCCTCCCCAGAAGTACTGACCTGACCTCTCCCCTCCCATGACACAGTGAGGACTAGCAACCTTCTGCTTTGTGGAGCGACAAAACCAACCACGGTGAGCAGCCAGCCCACCAGAAGGCCATCGAAACAGACCACAGTCCCAGAGAACTGAATGAAGGCCCTCATGTGTCCGGGTGTACAAGTGGCAGGCAGGCAATCCACTCGCTCAACCTCTTTTGCATTTATTTATTTATATCCTGCTTTTCTTCCCACCGTTGGGACTCAAAGCAGCTCCGAACGTCACCCTCCTCTCCTCCACTTTCTCACTACAACAGCCCTGTGAGGTGGGCCAGGCTGAGAATTTGTGACACGCCCAAGGTCAACCAGTAAGCTTCCACGGAAGGAGGGAGGATTCGAACCTGGGTTGCCCAGGGTTCTAGCCACCACTCTACCCACTACACCGCACTGGAAGTGGCTATTTGTAAAAAGCCCGGCCAGAGTTCTTCTGGGATTGGTTAATTCCACACAGCCCACCCCCAGAATTGCATCTGTGCCAACTTCTTTTAAAGACTCAGTCGCTCAAGATCACCCAGTTGCCATACCTTGATCTGGATATTCAGGCGGTTATTCTCGGCTTCCTTGTTGCGCAGCTGAGCTTGCAAATGGCCCCTCACAGCTTCCATAGATTTGGCGAGTTCAGATGCTGTCTTTGCTTGGTCCTAAAATGAGGGAAACCCAGAGAGGTACGGCACGGCGGGACTCTCCCTCTCTCAGCCGCACAGCCAGTCACCGTGCTTCACCCTGAAGGCGAGAAGCCACTCAGTAGCACTTTTGCGCAAAGCGTACAACGGCTCAGGGGAAAGGTTACCTTTTCTGTCTGTATCTGGACCATGAGATCCTCCACTTCCTTTTCTTTCTCCTGCAGCTTCTTTAACAATTGCTGCAAGACAAAAAGACAGAGAGAGGGCACCCACCAAAGAGAATCGTCACTGTAGCTTCCCGGAGAAGCAAAGGGAGCAGGACTGAGCCAGATACTGAGGACCAAACGACACATGAGGCCGGGGGAGACAGATGAATGGATCTTTTGCCATTTGAGCTGGGGGAGGGTGAATGGGATTAGGGCCACAAGGAGGTGGGAAATTTAACCCGTTCCCTGTGCTGTTTACCCGGTATCAATTGCCTTCCTTCCAGGTGGAGCTGCTATATACAGCTAATCAATATAACCTCCTGTATGTTTTCCTGTGCAGCGAAGAGCACCCTCCCCCCCTCTCCCCACAGTTCAAAGTGGGACCAGGGGTCCCCCACAGCAGTTAGTTAAGATTATGACACTGTGCAGGAGAGCCGTGGATGGCTCAGACTCATAGTCTGGCCTTAACACACTCATGCAGGGGGTGGGGGCATGCATTAAAAGGCTGTAGACATATAGCTGGACTCTACAAACTGCTACAATGGGGCCAAGATCCCGCTGCCAGTAGAACACCAGGACTGCAGAGGCGCCAACAGCAGCTGGAGAAGAACTCAACCTCCTGACTGTGCACAGTTGCCACAATTAGGTCATTCTCAAATCACTGCAGGAACTCCATGACGGAGGTCCAGCCTGCTCTCTCTCTCTCTCTCTCTCTCTTCCTGACTGTGCACAGTTGCTACAATTAGGTCATTCTCAAATCACTTCAGGAACTCCATGACGGGGGTCCAGGCTGCGCTCGCTCGCTCTCTCGCTCTCTCTCTCTCTCTCTCTCTCTCTCTCTCTCTCTCTCTCTCTCTGTGTCTCAGGCAAGGTATGGCAAAAAAACAAGACAGAGGCTTAAAAACTGTGGGCTAGCTCACAGCTTAGAGGGAACATGGGTCTCAAGGGATTTCTCTGTCTGAAATCATTTTCAAGAAGTCCCTCGAGAGCTTGTGCTGCATTTGCTAGGCTCCAAGAGTTTCTCCCTACACATGCAGAGTGCAATGTGGGCGCTCTCTCTCCTAAATCGTGCACACAACCCCGTGTGCTCTGGCAGCCCGTGCAAAGCCTGACAGCTCCAGAGATTGCAGATAAGGAAGCAACTAAAAACAACCATGTGTGTCGTTTCTATGGGAAAGGGGTCTCCTACATGCCCCTCGGATTCTCCTCACAATACTCCTAAGCAGTGGTCTATGGTTCTCATTTTATAGTTCAAGGAACAGCAGAGTGACAAGCCGCCGCCCCCTCCCGAAAATGACTACCTGACCCACCTCTGTTCCTTGGTTTTCTTATTCTCAAAGAAATGCTTGGAACATCAGCTGTCACTCAACCTGCCATTCCCATTTCAAGGGCCAGAAAAGCCTAGCCTTGCAAAGATGCGGGAAAAAAACCACATTTGATTTCCCCATTTACCGCTTTCTCTGCATCGGAATCGGTCAGCCTCTTCATCAGCATGGCCTGTTGTTCCGCCAACTTCTGAGAATCTTTCTGCAGGGGGAGGACAGAACATTCACAAAGGATTCACAAAGGATTCTGAAGTCCCATCCCCTTCCGGCGGGCTCGGCCGTGGCAAGCCAGAGGCTTCACTTGCTCAAGCATTAGCGCGTTATCCTTTCTACCCAAAGAGAAAGGCGTGGCTTGCAGCACACCCAAAAGCTGGGCACTGGGAGCCACTCAACGAGCAAGCAGCATCTGCCTTTGTGTGCGCGTTGAGGGCTGTAAGGTCACTTCTGACTATGGCAATCCCATGAATTAATGACCTCCAAAGCATCCTAGGCCACGGTGGCTCAGAGGTTAAGACGCTGAGCTGCAGACCAGAAGGTCTGTCGTTCAGCAGTTCGAGACCCGGGTGCCGCGTGACGGAGTGAGCTGAGCTCCCGTCTCCGGCCCCAGCTCCTGCCAACCTAGCAGTTCGAAAGCAAGAAATTGTAAGTAGATAAAGAGGTACCGCTTTGGTGGGAAGGTAACAGCGTTCCGTGCGCCTCAGTGTTTAGTCATGCCGGCCACATGACCACGGAAACGTCTTCGGACAGCGCTGGCTCTTCGGCTTGGAAAGGGAGATGAGCACCGCCCCCTAGAGTCGGATTCGACTGGCTTTCGAGCAAGGGGTAAACCTTTGCCTTGACTGAAACATTCTATTGTTAACAGCCTCGTTCAGGTCTTGCAAACCGAGGGCCTTTGTGGCTTCCTTGACTGAGTCCATCCGTCGTCTCCTGTTGGGTCTTCCTCTTTTCCCGCTGCCTTCCACTTGTCCTGGCATTACTGCCTTTTCCAGTGAGTCTTGTAGCATATGAGAAGCATGCACACCCTCAGTTCAGACGTCACGGCAAAACCAGTTCCTGACGCTTAACTACCGTCTAGTGCAAGGGTCGTCAACACCGTTCTCAGCCTGCAGGCACCTTTGGACTTCTGACACGGCACAGAGGGCACAGCCATAAAATAACTGTCACAAAGCGGCTGCCATCCAAGATGGAGCCAGCCACAAAATGGCTGCCGCAGCCTACCTTCAGCCTCACAGTGAAGAAGATCCCTGTGCTATGAGAGCAGCTGCTGCTGAAGCTCTGGACAGTCCATCAAACCTCCAATATCCAATCAGAAACGTCGCTGGGCCAAAGCCCTGCCTGGCCACACCCACTTTCCAAAACACTTGTGGGCTGCAAGAAAGGTGTTGGCAGGTGCCACGGTGCCCATGAGCACCAGGTTATGGACCCCTGGGTCTAGGGTCATGCCTGGATTGCTAAGTAACCATTTGATTGGCTTGCAAGCCGTGGCTGCTTTCAGATGCAATGCACAAGCCGTACCATTTGGCTAGCTGGTAAGGCAAACCAAAATGAGCATCCCCCTTGCCCCTTATGGCTAGGAAGAGTGGCTTCAAAATGCACCAGTAGACAGCTCCAGAAAGCTCAGGAGGCACAGGGCTGTTACATACGTTTTCTAGGACTTGAGGAAAAGGGCTCTGGTGCCTTGCATTGCTCCTCTCCCACCCCATGACTAACAAGCCCAGAATCATGCAAGGTAACACTTCGCCATGACTAGCACGGCCCAAATGACCACAGCAGCTATTCTTTAGCTATTTGGGGCACAGACTCCTGAAAATTTTGCTATTCGCGTTTTTGAAAGGATGACATTCAATGCTCCTTCTAAGCTGTGGAGTCTTGTGAGCAGAAATTCTACTTTGTGAGCTGCTGGCATTAAAGTTGTGAGCGAGCGATTTGGCTGCTGCATAAATTAGTTTTCTCTGGAGCCATCCTGCCTGAGCTAAGACAAAAGTGTGTGAGCCAGAGGCTAAAGAACTGTGAGCTAGCTCACACTAACTCAGCTTAGAAGGAATGCTGATGACATTTCTCTTTCACTGTTCTGTAGACCACGTTTTGCCAGGAATGCAAGCAGGGATGATCACTCTTTTCTGCCTAGCCACCCATCTCAACAGCTTTTCCAGCTGCATCCCACCTAGCCACACCCCTCTGCAATCTTTAACTACACAGCGTCTTCGGTCAAAGCAGTGTTCCAGGCCCGAAACACTGCTCCCCTGGCTCCATGCATTTGTTTGCATATTGCAAAAACAGAAAGCAGCCAGTCTGAGAAAACTAAGCCTCAGGCCCGAAACACTGCTCCCATGGCTCCATGCATTTGTTTGCATATTGCAAAAACAGAAAGCAGCCAGTCTGAGAAAACTAAGCCTCACTAAGCAATCGGATTCATTACTTGATCAGAGAGTCTGTGTTTCGGAGGCCCAGAGTTTCGGGTTTGTCAGGGCAGAATGTCAAACTGCCCAGCAACACTGTCACACACAGAGCAAGGAATTCAGGTTTCCAGAGGTAAACCATTCCACAAATAGAAGAGCCGTTTCACCCTTTGAGCTAACAGACCCTCGTGAGAAAAACAAAACCGAACCCAGTGCAGGGGAACATGACTCCTCTCACGCGAAGTCTTCGGCAAAGAGAAGACTGAGAACAGCCGTAGAATTTACCTGTGGGAGCATTATGTGAGTGGCTGGCTCGACACAAGCTTTTGCAGCGCAGGATCTGTAGCAGTGATTCTTGTGCCACATGGTTCTTTGGGTCCAAAATTACAAAGAGCAGGAATCTAGCACCGAACTGCAGAAGGCTGAATCGAACTGTGACTTTCCTACAGGGGCCAGTCCTTGCTATGGAGGCCGTTCCCTGGCCACTCACCTCCCGACTGTGCTGCTCTCTAAGCAGGTCTCGGAGCGTCCGGTTCGTCTCCTCAAAAGTGTTCAGCTTCTGCAACAACAGCTCTTTCTGCCTGGTAAGCGTGTTGATGTCGGAAACAGTCATGTGCTTCTCCTGGAGAGGGAGGCAGATGGGGGGAAAAACAACCCGGAACAGTCAGATCTGCTGATCAGCCGTGCTGCTCCCAGCAGAAGTCAATAAAACAAAACTCCACCAGCTATACAAGCAGCAGTTAGGTTAGAAGACGAAGAGATTGGATTTATACTCCGCCCTTCACTCAGAGTCTCAGAGCGGCTTACAGTCTCCTTTCCCTTCCCACAATGGACACCCTGTGAGGTAGGTGGGGCTGAGAGAGCTCTTTCGGGGACTGCTCTTGAGAGAACAGCTCTGAGAGAACTTGTGACTGACCCAAGGTCACACCAGCAGCTGCATGTGGAGGAGTGGGGAATCAAACCTGGTTCTCCCAGATTAGAGTCCAAGCTCTTAACCACTACACCAAACTGGCTGTTGCACAAACTGGTTGTATTACTGCAGAATCTGGCACATGAAGCCTTCTTAGGAAAATGCTAGCCAGAAGCAAAGCCTGCATTTCAGCTCTTTGAGCACATATAAATAAAATACTGTTCATTCTCAACTTATTTTTTCTCTATATATTTCAACATCCCTCCTACACAGTTCATTGAGTAGGAGTAGAGATCTCTAGATATTCAAACCCTAAGACAGCCAGTGTGGTGTAGTGATTAGGAGCGTCAGACCCAGGTTCGAATCCCCACTCGTACCTTGGAAGCTTGCTGGGTGACCTTGGGCCAGTCAGAGACTCTCAGCCTAACCTACCTCACAGGGTTATTGTGAGGATAAGATGGAGGGGAGGAGAATGGTGTGAGACACTTTGGGTCTCTATTGGAGAGAAAGGTGAGGTATAAACGAATGAAATAAACACACACTCAGGAAAAATGACATGAACACCCTTATTCAGGGCTTTTTTTTTTTTCTGGAAAAAGAGGTGCCAGAAATCTCGAGAGGGAAATGAACTTTTCAATCTGTATACTGAAAACTCCTGAACGTTTAAACATTTTTAAAGTATTCTGTCGAAAAGGTTCTAGAACTGTGTCGCGGCAGGTTCCCCCAGAAAAGAAGCCCTGTCTGAAAATGACCCGATCAACAGATGTGGCTGAACAGCAAAGTGGCTCTTGCGGGGCTTTCAAAGGGAATATGACCAATTCACAGGGGGAAGGGCCGGCAGTGCTTAACAGCCTCAATAGCTAAACAAATCCTCCATCACCTGGGGCAGTATACCACAATTCCAGAGGCCAGAGAAGGGGGGGGCACGACAAGGGAAAGTGTCACTGCCTTCATCACCCACTTGTGGCCTTCCTGGAGGGGCCCGGTTGGCCGTGAGCAATAAAGCTGGACCCCTGGCACGACACAGCAGGGCTCCTCCTACATTCTTAATCACCACCCTCCCACGCACGGTCAACAGGCACAGAGAGAACCTCTCTTCCCGATGTGCCAGCCTTTTCCTTGCAGCAAGTTTGGCCATGAAGAGGAGGAAGAGATTGGATTTATACCCGGCCCTTCCCTCGGAGTCTCAGAGCGGCTTACAAACTCCTTTCCCTTCCCCTCCCCACAACAGACACCCTGTGAGGTAGGTGGGGCTGAGAGAGCTCTTTCCAGAACTGTCCTTGAGAGAACAGCTCTGACAGAGCTATGGCTTGCCCAAGGTCATCCGGCAGCTGCAAGCAGAGGAGTGGGGAATCAAACCTGATTCTCCCAGATTAGAGTCGGCACACTTAACCACTACACCAAAGCATCCCAAAAAGTACTGATACCCCCCCCCACCCATTAGTAGTGGGCTCAGTTCCACATCGTCTTGCTGTATTTGTGGAACAGGCTCCAGTCAAAGCAACTGGGAGCAGACAGGGAAATGGGATTCACACACTCCGTGGCACTTTCACGCACTGATCAATGCACTTTCAGTCCACGTTCAAGGCACTTTGCAAATGGATCTTACTGTGCGAAATGGCCAAATCCGCTTGCAACCAGTTGCAAAAGTGCACTCAGAGCAGACTGAGAGTGCATTATTTGGCCTGTGTGAAAATGCCCTGAAGTCTTGGCCCCTGGTCCCACACCACGCCTCCCGAGGCCTGCTCCTCCTTTGGGATGCTGCAGCCACTGGATCTGAGTCAAACAATTCATCTCCAATACACCGTCTGGCATTCATCTTCTTAAACTATATATTCGACAGTTCTCTTCTCTAGGAGATGTTTTAGGAGGGTCATGGTCCAATGACCCTTTCTGATTGCAAATCTATCTAGATTATATATTTGAACGGCACATACGGTTTTCAGCTTGTTGATCGCATCCTTCAGGGCTTGGATCTGCTTTGCGGCTGCCGCTCCGTCCATCTCTGCCTCCACGAGCTTGGTCGTCCATGCTTGTAGCACCCACCACTTCCTGTGGCAGTGAATTCCATGTGTTAATCACTCTTTGGGTGAAGAAGTACTTCCTTTTATCCGTTCTAACCTGACCGCTCTGCAGTTTCATGGAGTGCCCACGAGTTCTTGTATTGTGAGAAAGGGAGAAAAGTACCTCTTTCTTTACCTGCTCTTTCCCATGCATAATCTTATAAACCTCGATCATGTCACCCCTCAGTCGTCTTTTCTCCAAGCTAAAGAGCCCTAAGTGCTTTAACCTTTCCTCATAGGGAAAGTGTTCCAACCCTTTTATCTTTTGAGTTGCCCTTTTCTGCACTTTTTCCAAAGCTATAATATCCTTTTTAAGGTGTGGTGACCAGAATTGCACACAGTATTCCAAATGAGGTCTCACCATTGATTTATATAGGGGCATTATGATATTGGCTGATCTGTTTTCAATACCCTTCCTAATAATCCCCAGCATAGCATTGGCCTTCTTTATTGCAGTCACACACTGTCTCGACATTTTCAGTGAGTTATCTACTACAACTCAAAGATCTCTCTCTTGATCAGTCTCTGCCATGTTTTAGGAGGGTCATGGTCCAATGACACTTTCTGATTGCAAATCTATCTAGATTATATATTTGAATGGCACATACGGTTTTCAGCTTGTTGATCGCATCCTTCAGGGCTTGGATCTGCTTTGCGGCTGCCGCTCCGTCCATCTCTGCCTCCCCGAGCTTGGTCATCAGACCCTCTTTCTCGTGCTGCAAGTGCCGCTTCTGCAGGCTGGAAAGCAAAAAGGCCGTCAGGTGGCAGGAGCACTTGGTTGTACCCTGTCACAAAGGAAAAGGTTTCCTTGGGGGGGCCAGACCCATGCCTACGCTGCAGTATGTAGCCCCTTTCGCCCAAACTTTGGTATGATCTGGTTGCAGTAAGCCATGCCTCCGATTGCTTCTGGGCTGGACAACTGCAACGCATTGTGGGGGCACTGCCTTTGAAGGCTTTTCCAGAGGCTTCAGTGGGTGCAAAACACCGCCGCCAGGACACTGAGAGGCATGAATTACCAGCAATGCAACTCTCCAATATTAAAAGCATTACACTGGCTACCCTCAGTGGAGGGAAAGAATTCCAGAAGGGCATTTGCCCTAGCAACCCTGTTTCCCCGAAAATAAGACCTACCCCCAAAATAAGCCCTAGCGGGATTTCTATGCATTTGTGGTATAAGCCCTAGTGTGTCTTCTTGAGAAAAAATAAATATAAGACAGTGTCTTATTTTCGGGGAAACATGGTAGATGTTCCGCCCTCCAATCTGCAGTTATTCAAGGCAGGTACAATTAAAAAAACCCTACTCTGAAAGGCTATGTCCATGCCTTTTAAGCAAGGTTGAATTGGTAGAGCATATGTTCTTCAGCTGCCCATTTTACAGGGAGACTCCTCTTAAAATCATTCCCCCTTTAGTCGATAGGACACCTGGGCACATTAACACAAACCAAGCAAGGCTTCACTGGCTCCTATCAGATAAGAATGCAGAGATTACACATTCAGTCGCTGAGTTTTGGGCATTCATTCTTAGATTGAGGAATCGCATTTGAAAAGTTCTTAAATTCAGATTTCTATTTTTGTATAGCATGACTGTTTCTTTCTCTCTCCCTTCGTATGTTGGTCTTAAGACCGTAATAATAGTAAACACTGGCTACCTATAAGCTTCCGGGCCCAACACAAAGTACTGGCTTATATAAGAACATAAGAACATAAGAGATGCCAATGTTAGATCAGGCCAAAGGCCCATCCAGTCCAACACTCTATATCACACAGTGGCCAGAAATACCAGGTGCCATCAGGAGGTCCACCAGTGAGGCCAGGACATCAGAAGCCCTCCCACTGTTGACCCCCCCAAGCACCAAGATGACAGAGAATCACTTGCCCCAGAGCCCCTATCTATACCTTGTGGCTAATAGCCACTGATGGACCTCTGCTCCATATGCTTATCTAATTCCCTCTTGAAGCCGTCCATGCTTGTAGCCGCCACCACTTCCTGTGGCAGTGAATTCCAAGTGTTAATCACTCTTTGGGTGAAGAAGTACTTCCTTATATAAAGCACTAAGTTCTTTCGGGCCCTTACCTGGAAGGACCAGGCGAGCCCGATCTCATCAGAGCTCGGAAGCTAAGCAGGGCTGCTGCTGGTTAGGACTTGGGTGGGGAGACTGCCAAGGGAGTCTAGGGTCGCTATGCGGAGACATACAACAGCTAGCCCGATGCCGTCAGATCTCAGAATCAAACCAATCTGCACCAACTCTGACTGTTTGCTTCCAAAAATTATGGGACCAATATATTATGGAAAACATCACTGATAAAATTGACAGAATGCTATTATTCCCGAGCAAATCCAATTAGACGAAAAATGACCCCCACCAATGCTCCCTCTTAGCTGTGGAGTCTTGTGAGCAAAAATTCTACTTTGCAAGCTACTGGCAACAAAGTTGTGAGCGAGTGATTTGGCTACTGCATAAATTAGTTTGCTCTGGAGCAATGCCAGTTTGGTGTAGTGGTTAAGTGCGCGGACTCTAATCTGGGAGAACTGGGCTTGATTCCCCACTCCTCCACTTGCACCTGGCTGGATGACCCTGGGCAAGCCGTAGTTCTGATAAGAGCTGTTCTTGAAAAAGAGCAGTTTCTGTCAAGAGCTCTCTCAGCCCCACCTGCCTCACAGGGTGTCTGTTGTGGGGAGGAGAAGGGAAAGGAGTTTGTAAGCCTCTCTGAGACACCTTTGGGTAGTGAAGGGCGGGGTATAAATCCAATCTCTCCTCTCTTCTTCTAAGCTGTGGAGTCTTGTGAGCAAAAATTCTGCTTTGTGAGCTACTGGCATTCAAGTTGTGAGCGAGCGATTTGTCTACTGCATAAATTATCTTGCTCTGAAGCCATCCTTCCTGAGCGAAGATAAAAATGTGTGAGCCAGAGGCTAAAAAACTGTGAGCTAGCTCACACTAAGAGGGCACACTGGTCCCCACTACCTGAAGTTTTATTGTGTCAACAATTCATCCCACCTGAATGGTCCCAATTGCAGCAATGGATACAACACTGATGGAATCATCATGAGAACTATAGTTCTTTAGACCACCTTTCTTTCACCTGCTCCTTTTGGCTGTATTATAACTTGTACTAAAGTCCCGGTTATTATGAATGTGTCTTATACACCTCTACTCAATGACTTTTTCTTGTATTGTATTTCTGTTTGTGTGTTAATAAAAGTTTCTCAAAATAAAAAGAAATAATCTCGGCATCTAAGCTGGGTCAACCCTGGTTAGTATTTGGATAAGAGGCCACCATGGAAGACCAAGGTTGCTATGCAGAGGCAGGCAATGGCAAACCAACTCTGAACGTCTCTTGCTTTGTGGAGTCTCTTGCCTGTGGAGTCACCATAAGTTGATTGTGCCCTGATGACACTTTCTACCACCTAGTTGTTTCAAGACTGCGGAACTAGAGAACTGCCCGCCTCCTCTATCAGTTTGCTCACCCACTTACGGCTTTCTTTACATGCCCATCTCTTTCAGAAGTAGGTGGCTGCCAGACGGTGCCTTTTCTGTAGTGGCTCCCAACTGGTTTGGTGCCCCCCACCTTCAGCTAGTTCCTCAGTGCCGTGTATTTTCACTTTCAGGCACTAAGGTTTTCTCCAGTACTTGATCGGTTTGCTTTGCTTTGCATGATTTTGGCTCTTTATCCCTCTCGGATTAACAATACCTTGTTTTCACTCAGTTTTTATTAACTTAGGGTTTTAATGTGATGCTGTGTGAGTTTTTTTAACAGGTACACACTGGACACTGCAGCTATTAAATTGGGCTTCGGGGATTTTCAGGCCTCATGTATGCTGTCACCTTATTTGTTCTACTGTTTTAATCTTACTAATTTAATCGTACCAAAGATTAATAGGATGCGAGCCAGCAGTCTACAGGAACGCAAAAAACTGGTTCAGAGGGGGTTTCTTCAATGAATGTGAATGGAATCCTCAAAAACAGAAAGCGGTCACTGGTTCAGAGTCAGCGGTTCAACAAAAAGGCACTCAGGAGACTGTTTTGAGGGGTGGTCTAGGCTGCTCTCTGCTCTAATATTGAGAGAAACTGCATTTCCCAGAGAGCCAACTAAAAAGGAGGAAGAGGTTGGTAGGCAGGCCCTAGAAACAGCCGTCCTCCTGGCGCCAAAGCAGAAGCTTGCCTAACTACCCAGAAGCTTGTTTTCCAGAAACAAGGCCTCACTGGTGTGGAACATGAGCTAAGGGTAGAAACGTCTTACAGTTCCTTGGTGCAGCAGTTCCTCTTTGATGCCCATTTCACATACTTAAACACATAAATGGTTATTCTTTTTATTTTATTTTTTGCTAAGTTAGCGGGGTTTCTTAAAAGATAACTCCCTAAGGAGTTGGGGTAGGGGAGATGATATTCAAAAAAGAAGGAACACCATAAGAAGAGGAAGGAAAAGGGACTTTCTTTAAAAAGTGGTGTAAAGTGGTGTTTAGTGTATTAATCAGGGTTAGAACAGAGAATCGTTCCGTTATTTGGCCCAAGGCCTTGGCTAAACCTAAAGATTAGTTTTTACCTCTGACCCCTAAGAGGACAATTTCCTCCTAAAATAGAATTGCATGTGACTTGTTTGACTTTTAACATTTGCTGGTTAACAGTACACAAGCTAGTTGTTTTTTTTTAACTATATACAATATAAACAAGGTAATGTTAGTAAAAAATCAAGCCCTAAGAAACAAAAGGAACTGTGATATCATGTGGATACTGCACATGGTTCAATAAATAGCTTGTGCAGCAGAAAACTATGAACAAAGTTTAAAAAACAAACAATTATCCTGCCCAGGGAGGAAAGTCTCCACTTATATGGACTGAGAGGTGACATGGTAGCTATCTTCAAGAATTTGAAGTGCTGTCATATATAGGATGGAGTGAAGTTCTATTCTTTTTCCTTTTCAGTGGCGGCTCCTATCTGGTGGAACGAGCTCCCGGAGGAGATCAGGGCCCTGCAGGACATTTTGCAGTTCCACAGGGCCTGTAAGACGGAGCTCTTCCGCCAGGCATATGAGTAGGAGCCGCCACTGCTATTACCACCACCGCTCCTCCATAGAGTGCTACCGCCGGAGGACCGTGTATAACATGCAATTGTGGCCCTAGTCTTCCCCTCTGCTATGCAAAATGTGGGGGTTCTCTCTTCTCTTTCCTTGCAGCCTGATGTATTGAACTTTTTAACTGTTTTTATCTATTTTATCTATTGTATATTATATATATGCACTTTGTGCTCGTGTAAGCCGCCCTGAGCCCGTTTGCGGGAAGGGCGGGGTATAAATGTAATGAAATAAATAAATAAATAAATAAATAAATATTGCCCAAATGGTCAAATCAGAACCAGTGGGTTGAAATTAAAGCAAGAGAGATTTTGGCGAAATATCTAGAATAACTTCCTAACTAACCATTAGAGCAGCTCCTCAGTGGAACAGGCTTCCTGGGGAGGTGGTGGGCTTCTTTTTTCAAACAGAGGCCAGACGGCCATCTGACAGCAATGCTGATTCTGTGAATTTAGGCAGATCACGAGAGGGAGGGCAGGAGGGGAAGAGCCAGCGCTTGGCTTTTGTGGCCCTTCCTTATACACCCAGGGTAATGCAAATCGCCACTTTGGGGACAGGAAGGAATTCTCCTCCAGGCCAGATTGGCCCAGGGATCCCAGAGGGTTTGTTGCCTTCCTCTGGGCGTACAGCAGTGCTCACTGGGGGAGTGGGGAAGTCATGAATTTTCTGCGTTATGCAAGGCGTGGGACTGGATAATCCTTGAGGCCCCTTCCAGCTCTATTTCTATGGGGAAGGGGGGGGGAATTTAGGCCCATGACACACTGCAGGCAAAGAGAGCAACGATATTCTTTGTGAAATGCATCTGAACAGGTTCAAAGCATCTGAGCAAGTCACCAAACCGCTTTTTCAAACTCAGCGTCTGAAGCACCTGAACCAGAATTGAATTGGAGGATGAAAGGAATACTAGAACCCGACCCCCACCCCAAGACTGGTGACACAGAATACACATAACTGAATGTCACGCTAAAGTCACACATACACACGTGTGGGTCTGTCTTATGACAATGTGCTACATGTTTCCCTGCTGGCTGACTTGGTCTAAGTCAAACCATTCATCCAACTTGTCTAGGACTGTCTGCTCTGAGGGGCAGCGACTCCCTAGGATTCCAGGCAAAGACACGTCTTGCCCAACACCTGCCACCCAAGAGCCTTTCAAACTGTAGTTGCCAGGAGGGAACCCACGCCCTGCTTGCGTAGCATCCAGGCAGCCACTGACCGATGGCTGCTCCCAAAGTTTAAGAGGCTGAAGGAACAAGATACCGCCAAATCTGAAATGATTATGGGTGAGAACAAAATGGCACAGTTTGGTGGCAAAGTCAGCCGTGGTGTTGTCAGAAATCATGTTCCTTATGGCTTGTAATCCATCTTTGTGTGGGATGTCGGTATACAGAGACTCCACGTCTATGATGGCTAAAATAGTATTCTCAGGAAAGCTGATGAAAGACTGTATTTTCCTCAGAAAGTCTATGGTGTCATGCACACAACTAGGAGAATGGATGGCATAGTGCAGTGATGGCGAACCTTTTAGAGACTGAGTGCCCAAACTGCGACCCAAAACCTACTTATTTATCGCAAAGTGCCAACATGGCAATTTAACCTGAATACTGAGGTTTTACTTTAGAAAAAACAACTCATACGTTAACTTAAGATGATCCAAACAAAGTAAGGAAAGCAATCCCAAATGTTTTCATTTACTTAAAATTATTTGGCAGAGAATTCGACACTTTAATGACCGTCTGGGCCTGGCTGGGGCGATGGCACGCGTGCCCACAGAGAGGGCTCTGAGTGCCACCTCTGGCACCCGTGCCATAGGTTCGCCACCACTGGCATAGTGTATTTGTTCTAAGTCCATGAATCCAGATACCCCCACGGTGATAGCACCTATGTCTGAGACAATGGGGTGGGTACCTGGGCTGCCGGGTATCTGTATTTTGGGCAGAAAATAAAAGGTACCTGGTCGAGCGTCTGAAAAGATTTGTTCCCGAATGTGCAGGGGCAACTCTACCTCTACGTAATGATTGAGGAAGGCTAGTTTCAACCTATCTGAAGAAGGGAGCATGCACATGAAGGCTTATACCCAGAATTAAACTTTGTTGGTCTTAAAGGTGCCATCAGACTCATACTTTGTTCTGTTGCTTCCGACCAACACCTCCCCACGTGAATCCATTACAGAAATGGTTACCAAAAAAATGGTTACCAGGTGTAAGAGATTCATTTATTTAAAATATTTATAACCTAACATTCTCAACGAAGAGTTTGCCCGACAGCTAATTACTAGCACCTGTTGGGCCAGAACTGTCTTTGGCACGCCTCCCATTACATCGTACAGTTTTCCGCAAAAAAATTTAAACTGGTTTCCTCCAAAGAGAAAAATCTACAAAGGAAAGGAAAGGCTTGGAAGCTTCCTTACACGGAAAGATCTTTCTCCTCTTTCATACGTTCAATATTGCGCCGGAGAATGGTGTTTTCATGTTCCGTCTCTACCAGTTCCTGAGTGACTTCTTCCAGCTCTTCCTTCTGCTCTTCGAGTAGACGTTTGGCCACGCATCGCGACTCTTCCCGCTTGGGTATTTTGACCTGCGAACACTTTCATTTGTGCAATAGACTAGCATTTCGCCCATTACGCATCAGTAGGCAGAGACACAGAACAGGCATGCTACCACCAAAATGATATTGCCAACTTCTGTGAGCACATGGTTTTGATTTGAACATTCCAGATTCTAACAAATGTTCTCCTCAAACAGGAAGAAATTTGATACAAATACTGGTTATTTCCATCAGAAAAAAACCTGAGAATATTGGTAACAAAAATGAGTCTTATGGAAACATTGTATGAACACAAAAAGAACGTGGCATTTCATACATTCCCCTATATGGTAATACTACAGACTGCCATAATTTCAGCAATAGCTCTTGATCGTGAAGGAGCCTGTAGAGATTTAGGTTCCATGGGAAATTTGTCATAAGGTTTTTCGTGAAGATCCTTCCCCCATGAACTGGAATCTCCATATTGCCAGTTCCAAAACTGCTGTGAAGAAGGGAGGAGGAGAGACCCAAGTCTCTGACAATGTTTGTTTAGTACACTCAGGGGTCGTTTCGTAGAAAAAGAGCTAGGGAAACTCATTAGCTTAACTCATTAGCATATGCCACACCCCCTGACATCACCGGAAGTGTGTCATAAGGCCACACCCCCCGCCCCCAACGGTCCCGGCCGCCGCCACCGGCCTTGCAGCTCCACTGCCGAGCCCCATGAGGGGCCCGGCGGTGAACCTGCAAGGCCGGTGGGAGGGGGGCGGGGCTTCGTCATGTGCCCCGCCCCCCCGTACCTCACCCGGGGGAACTGCGATCCCCCGCGATCCCCCCCGAAATGACCTCTGAGTACACTGACTATAATTTCGTTATGAGTGGCTGCGTAGCAACCATTTGCAGCTCACATTAAATGTAATGTTATGCTCTTTAGCATATATTTAATGTGTGAATTGATTTCTAAAAGGCAGTTACAGTGATTTACACAAAAAAACATGGGATTGTGACCTTGAACAATATTTGTAGGGCTGCATCTCTACTCTTTTTTTAAAAAATTAGCTGTACGTATATTTCAACATATACAGCAATTCTTCAAAATATCAACAAAAAACGCAATGATTAGGGTACAACCCTCATGTGCCAAATTTTGTTGATCTGGTATACAATGACTGCCCTATGCTAAGAGATACAGTCCTGGGTGAAGTACACCAAGGCCCAGGTCCTTTGACTCACTTGTGGTGGTTTTGTTGGGATATACAGACTCCCCACATTTAAAAGTATGTAACAGAAGAAAACAAAGTGTTTCAACAAGTACTAAATACAAGTGAGCACTAATTCCTGGAGAAAAGACCTTCAAGAAAAGCCATATGCCAATGTTGTACCATAGATTCCCCCCGGATCATAGACATCTTCCCACTTGCTTCTCCCTTACTATAGATTATACTGTAAAGAATGGCCAAAGCCACACAATCTCTGTCTTACCTTATTCATTTCAGTTTTACGTTATCTTGCTTTTTGTTTCTTTTTACAATGGGCAGGTGTGGGATTGGGGACGGAGAGAGAAAAGGCCAAGTGTGTTGCGACAAGTCCCTTGGTCCACATCCCCTTTCACTGATTTGGAACTATTCACAACCTAAAACCTAAAACTCGCTTTTACCCTGGAAGAGTCACGCAGCCAGTGAGTTTTCAGAAAAGCTGTGGGCTGGAACAGAACTAGAGACACCAGACGTAGACAGTCTAGCAGTCAAAATGGGGCACGCCTTGTCCAACAAGAGCTTTGAACTATGTTACTGCAAAGGTCAGCTTGCTGGTCACCAGTACGGAACTCATTATGTGGAGCTGAGCTAATGTTACTTACGCCGTGCCACAGGGTGCGATCCTAAGAAAGCTTTCCTAGGAGCAAGCCCTACTGAGGGGAGTAAACAAGCTTGGGATTGTTCTCATAGCATCTCTGAACACCAGGCAGGCCTTTACACTTACAGGGGCACAGTCGAGTGTCCACCTCTGCAAAGGGGCAACAACGCTGTACTCCACTTGACTAAGTGGCCAGTGCTAACAGCAATGGTACTGTTTGAAAAAACAGCCGCCTGTTAATGGTACAGCGAGGCAGGTTGCTCTTCTTCATTATTCTTTCTCTACGGCGCTACGTTTGAGCCAGAGGTTACCTTCTCTCACTTTCTAAGAGAGGATACCCTCCCAAGTCCGAGCCTCTTTGATGTGAGATGCGGCTAATCCGAAAGCGACTGCCTCACCTCATTTTTTAACGTGCCCACCACGTTCAGCAAGCTGTCTATCTTCTTCTCATACTTGTTCATCTTGCCATGAAGGGCGTCTTCCTCTTCTGTTGAAAGGTCACTCAAGCGGAGCACTGACAGTAACTTATCCGAATCCGGAGGAGTGATTTCCAGGCGATGTGTTGGTCCCTGGTCAAACATGGGACAGAGGGGGCAACCCAAAATGATTAGAAACCCTAAACAGCAAGTTAACCAACCAACTAAACAAACAAACACAACCCACAAGCCCTGTATGTCTGTCATATAAAGTACATCAGCCATAACCTTTCCCCATGGTCACAAAACATCCGTCCGTTAAGCATTTACATAAAAACACTTTCAGATCTCCAAGACAATTCTCACCAGTCAAACATACCTGTAAATTAACATTATTTTCCCTATCTTGGAGACAGAGGAGCTGAATTCAAGATACAACCGCTTGCCTACAGCCATGCAGTGAGTTTATGGCAGAGGCAGCATTTGAACTGGGGACCGCCTAGTTCACCACTCACATCTCTTAATCACTATAATGCCACCATACCAATGCAGAATCCAGATGGTGTTTTGATGGCCTAGCTTAAAAATACGTTGAGCCATCTCAAGAAGGGGTGCGGAAGCACCTGAGTTCTCTAGCAGTTCAGCAAGTCAGAAGGAATTCAGTCCCTCGGATGGGAGACCATGCAAAAGGTGAGCCCCGCTTTCAGAAATGAGATGGCCGAAAGGGCCTAATTCGTTGTGGCCCCCCGCCAGGTTTGCTGAACTTCATTAAGCAAAAAGCAACCTCAAGTTCATTCTCTCACATTTCCTGCCAATGATAACGCCTTCTGTATTGACCAACTCAGTATTTTAATCTTTCCCAGTTGTTTTTTAACAGTCAAATACAACTGGCTGCACCTCTGAATTTGATTGCTGGATTTGACAGTTAGTCTTCTATTGACATGTTTTGATAGTTTAATTGTTTTAACTGGATTTGAGGAGATTGGATTTATACCCCAGCCCTTCACTCGCCGTCTCAGAGCGGCTTACAAACTCCTTTCCCTTCCCCTCCTCACAACAGACACCCTGTGAGATAGGTGGGGCTGAGAGAGCTCTCTCGAGGACTGCTCTTTCAAGAACAACTCTGACAGAACTATGGCTTGCCCAAGGTCATTCAGCAGCTGCGTGTGGAAGAGTGGGGAACTACTAACTACTACACCAAACTGGCTCTCTCTCTTTTAAGTAATGGTTGGGAGCGGCCACACCAAATGCAGAGTATAAATATTACCATTTACAGATCAATAGATAAGAAGCTGCAGAGGCCAAGCGCTGCACAGAACACAACACCAGAAGAAGAAAGCCAACACATAGGCTTGGCTCAAACATACTGGGAAGCCATAGTTTTATTTACGGTTAGTCTGTGAAACAAGCGTCCAACTGGCATCCTGGATTCCCTCAATAAATTCTGGTTTCATTGGATCTTTCCCTGCCTCCCGGCTAGGATCTCAGCCTGAATCGCTGTGAGGATGGTGGCGGGAACAACCCAGGATTATACATCCACATTCATCTGTCACACAAAGCCACAGCTGAGACTCACTGTGGTTAACCCAGTAAAAACCCACCTCTCTTCAAAGCCATCCAAATAACTTTGGCATTCATGCTAACTCTCAACTGCCTTGCCTGTCCAGATGTTATCCCCTTCCAAGGACTGTACAGGACCATCAGCCTCCCATCATAAAAGATGGTTTTAAAAAAAAAGCTCAGCAAGGAGAGTAATGGATTCAAATACAAACAGCGCTTCCCCGTTCAATCTTTCCGTAGAGACTTATGGCAGAGGAAGTGCTGGGAGAAACAGAAAGAGTATAAAGAACCACCATCTCCTGTATGAATCTGCCCAGTCCTTAAGACTTTGTTGTTTAAGGCCCAGCTGTGGGTGACTCTTGTTTCTGAGACTAAGTGGAGACCACACACGGGGCCTTTTCAGTGGCAGCACCCAGCTGCAGAACATCCTCATCAGAAGAAGTATCTGTTTGATGTTGACTCTTTTTATTCCTCAGGCACCAAATAGAAATTATGTTATTTTCTTGTGCTTTGGCTGAGTCAACCCAGTCCCTGTCATTTTAATGCTGCTGTTCAGGTCCGTTCATTCTACTTTGGGCTTTTAAACCGAATGCTTTTCCTTTTTAAAAACCTGGGAGGGGTTTTTATTATAAATCCTTTTCCTTCTAGATAGTAATCTGCCTGGAGGACCTGCCTTTCCACCACGCAAGAGGAGAAATGCATTCAACAAAAGCCCAGAGCCTATTTCCCAAGCTCTCCCTGGGCGCATCTGGGGGAGGGGGGGGAATAGAAGAAACAGCTTCTGAAGACGCCCACGGTCAGGCTCCAAAGGAAGCAGCAGCTGTCCTACCTCCCACTTGTAAGATGACTCTCTGATGGATGTTTTGCCTGGGGGCATCCAGGGGACTTTGGTTTTTACTCGGACACTGCGGCGCACATTCACGGTATCCCCTTTCATTTTCTGCTTGTGCTTTTGCTGGGGGGAGGGTTTTGAAGTGCAAGGAATAAGAAGAGAAGAAATCAGTTAACGCAGGACACTTGCCCAGATTCACTTTCACATCAAATTGTGCAACAGAACTGGAAGACACCCAAGTTATTCCAACAAACAGTACCACGGAGAAGCTTCACGCTCTACATCACAGTTGTCATCTCAGTAACCACGCCCGGGAAAAAGAAATAGAGGTAAGTGCATAGCTCGCAGAGTATGGGACCAAACTGAAAGCCACTTTATTCTATGTCAGTCAGGGATCATTGTGACATCACTCGGGTAAGCCTGGCCTCTTATGATGCGATGTGGGCCTCAGTTACCCTGCAAGGATTAGATCTGGTGCGTGGCAAGAAAGTTATACTCCAAGGCTGCAACAAGGACTGCAGATCAGCATCTGTGAGCCCCTTGGACCTCCTCCAGGCCCCAATAAGGATCCAAAACTGCAGAAGGGATTGGTTACAACACATCTTCGTAACTCCCTGGAGCAACTTGCATTGCCAGACGGCAAAACCAGGTATGTGGAAAAGAGGAGAGAGCGCTGATTCTCTTTGAAACGCAGTAGGCTTTCAACATGATTAGAGGCAATGATGATTCTGTTGTGGTAGGCAACAATCCTAAGTACAAGTTTTTCTTAGATGCTGCGAAGAGGACTCAGCAACACAAATAATACTTTAAGCAGGGAGTTCTGACAGTCCCAAGATGCCTGACTTGCATGCAATACCCCTACCACCAGCTCCTGTCATGTAGGTTCATCACGTCCCCAAGGTGGCTTCAAAAATAAACTTGATTCAGAGGACAAACCATAATAGCAGCCAGCTCAGCAAATGCATCACTTTTTTGCAAGATAAACAGTCCTCCCCCTTGCTATCCAATGCAACTTAAAATAAGGGAGGAACAGCATTTCATTTTACTGCTCCTATCATTCCAAGATGATAACCTTATTCAGCTCCATACAACAAAGTTCCTAGCTTCCTGCTCTATGAAATGTGCTGAGTACTTTACTCATGCCGTACAGAAGCAACATAATTTAGCTTAAACACTTCCACCACCAACAATAACAAATGAGGATGCTGTAGAAGCATATTAGATATTTGCCCACTAGGCACGTTAAGGTAATATTTTCTTGAAGAAAAGACCACAAATTATTTTCCATTTATGAAACGGCACGGTGGCAGGTGATCTACCCTATGGGCCCTTCCGCACCTCTGCTTGACCTGAAAGCCCCCATTTTTCAAGACAAAGAACATCAAAAGGGAGACTTCAGCACGGAACTGCTGGACTACAGTTTAATCGGGAAATTTGTTATTAACTTAATTAGGCCTCTAGTCAGATAATGGTTTCTTCGAACATTTTACAGGAGTTAAGCTGTTCTTAGACACGCTAAGTCAGAGATGTCAAACTGATTTGTTACGAGGGCTGGATCTGACATAAATGCCACTTTGTTGGGCCAGGTCATGGGTGCCATAAAACAAATGCCAGGTACCAGAGATATAAATTTTATAAAGGACAGCAGCTGGTAAGTGTCAGGTAGCCCTGTCATAGTTCTGGAATGTAGAGGGGTGTCCTCCTTTTGCTTCTCAGTTCTCTCTGGCTCATCAACTGTTTGCTATCTTATGCTTGACCTTGTAGATGCTCCAGCTGCAGTTTACTCGGCTGGGAAAGTTAATGTCTTTTTTACTCTGCCCACTTGCTTTGCCCACGCGCACGAAATATATCCATTGGCTTATGCTTACGGGGGGATGTTTGATTTTACTATAAGTCAGAGTCCCTAGTATTGACGGCCATTCCTGACACAAGCTGTACACGTGTTCTTTAGTACTAGACTTATCAATAAACAGTTATCTTCTTATGAAGCCCTGTGTGGTGTGATGTGACTAAAGATCCTGACAGTAAGATCCAAGTTGGTGCAAGGCCCCATGGGCTGAGAGGGGAGGTGCAGAGGAAAACCCACACAGATGGAGAGCCAGCGGTACAATGCTGGACAGATTCTCCCATGCTGCTTGACTGCTGAAGATGAGGTTGTTCTACTGTGCTGAAGCCATAACCACCCCTCAAGCAGTCTCCTGTTCCTTCCCTTGCACCAGTTGCTCGTGGGCCGCATAAGAGCCCTGGGCGGGCCAGTTCTGGCCCCCGAGCCTTATGTTTGACATCCCTGTGCTAAGTAATTACACTGTTGCTTATTACCACTGATGTGAACCCGCCTGCTGCACTTCTGGTTGTAGACATCTGCACTTTGCCAAGAAACATCACAGACTGGACTGCTTGCATCTCGTGGCCACTGGACCGCACGGCTCTATGCCTGTGTGTGTACGTGTGCTTGCCTGCCTGCCTATCTACTTAGGATGCACTTTGTGCATCTGAGAGTGGACTCTAGTCAATGAAAGGAGGAGGAGGAAGAGATTGGATTTATACCCCGCCCTTCACTACCCAAGGGAGTCTCAGAGCGGCTTACAAACTCTTTTCCCTTCCCCTCCCCACAACAGACACCCTGTGAGGTAGGTGGGGCTGAGAAAGCTCTTGACAGAAACTGCTCTTTTTCAAGAATAGCTCAGACAGAACTATGGCTTGCCCAAGGTCATCCAGCAGGTGCAAGTGGAGGAGTGGGGAATCAAACCCGGTTCTCCCAGATAAGATTTCGCGCACTTAACCACTACACCAAACTGAAAGCACATGCCGTAATTAATATTTTAGTTTTCCAGGTGCCAAAAGCCTGTTCCAATAAGAACACACAACCAAGGTGTTTGAAGGGTACCTTCAAGTGAAATTCAAAGCTTAAGTCCCTTAGACCCAATGGCTGGATCCAGTACAAGTTAGTCACACCTAAGCCCTACTGATAGCAATAGGACTTAAGTTGGCATTGACAACTTGTTTAATTTGTTTTAATAGCAGTTAGCAACGACTAACCTTGGCCGGGTTGGGGTAAACTGAATCGTTTTGGCAGACGATTGATAACTGATTTTAGAACTCTGTTCGCTCCATTTTACATAACCCTATGAACAACTCTTCACTCATACAAGAATCAGCTTGCAGAAAGAGGAAGAGAATACTGCAAATTAAAGGAATATTAGGAACAATTCCAGCAACATAACTAATTGGCTGCTAACTTTTTCTTAACCCATGGGCTACACATTTTAAAGTCATACAAGTTGCTGTCCCTGCAGGGAAAGTGTTTCTAGGTCCCCCCAAATTTCTAATGAATTGGACTTACAAGCGGAGAGATTTCAATCTGGCTCTCCCCAATACGATTCCAATGTACTAGCTTCTACAACATGCCAGCTCCCCACACATTTGTAAACATCATATAGACACTTCCAGGAACTGTCCACTTTATTGCTGATTTACCCATGAGGCAGTAAATAAGATCTATACTTTGCGGAAGCACCATTAATTTTGAAGGTGCTATTAAATTGCATTTGATACGGAAAATATAGTACCATGAACACAGACTAGGTAAACAACACAATGCACATTGTCTGCATCTAAGCATACTTACCTGTGCGTAGCAAAAAAGCAAACAGGCAGCAGCATACTATATTTGTTGCAAAAAAACAAAAAAAACAAAACAACCCACCCCCAAACTGGCAGCTGTATGATCTAAGCATATTTACTAAATTTGAAGCAAAAAAGTAAACAGGCAGCAGTTTAATCTAAGCATACTTACTAAAACTGCAGCCCCCCCCCCCCAAAAAAAAACCCAACCGAGCAGGCAGCAGCATAAGCAAAGCATGCCAGGCAGCAGCAACACATGGCTGCAACATCCTGTTTATTTATTAACACTTCAAGCAACATGAACAGGCCTTGAGCTTCCACTGGTGCTTCTGGGGGCTTTGGCTTTCCAAGCACAGCCCCTACAAACACTCAGCTGCACACTCGTACCTGGGGTTTTGCCGGTGGTGGTGTTTTCTGACCCTTTTTAATATGGACATGGACAGGGGTATTTTCATCCACATGGACGTGCAAAGGGGGAGTTGAGGAGCGGCTCTTCATAGTTCTTCTCCAACAAGCGGGAAAAGGGCAATCAGTACAATGGAAAAAAGGACCTGTGAATAAGTAGACTGGAAATAACAACAATTTTTTATGCCCAAGTCCAAAAGGACCTGCAGCCCTCTCAAGGGAGGGAAACATGCAACATTTTCAAGCCAAACAAATGGCCAATTCAGACATGAAAAAAACCCCACCAACCTGGAATGGTATACCTCAAGAAATAAGGTACGATGTGCTGGTTCTGTCCATTTTAATTGCCTCGTTTTAAAGTCATTGCTCAGGTTTCCTACCTGGCTTCAATAATGTCCAGCTCTTCAAAAAAGACAAGAGTTCCAAGTCTGGCTCAGACCTTTCTCAGTTACGGATCCTGGGGTTGCAGGGTATCTACTAAGAGCCACCAGAACCAAAGGCCTCCAAATACATTAGCCTACTGATTCGGCACCACTCATCTAGCTTGCCAGGGAAGTCATGCAACGGGAACATCAACTGGTCACTTGGCATTCTAAGCAAGTAACAGCAAATTGACACAGCACAACCATTTTTTCCCAAGGAGACACCTTATTGTAGGTCAGCGGGTGCCCTTGGGGAAAACCCTTTTCTGTTCTACAATTTCTGTGTGTGCAAAGCTTGCTTGTGCTGAAACACAAACCATCTTTTCTGTTCTACAATTTCTGTTTATGCAAAGCTTGCTTGTGCTGAAACACAAACCAGCTTCCAGGTGGACTACCTGCAGCTAGTCTTCACACAGGACGCCGAATTCCCTATACAGAGACAACCATGATGTATGACCTTGTCTCCCATAGGCACATTGGAATTAACAGGTGTAAGAAAGCTTGTTGGTATAACTACAGCAGTCAGTCAGCCAACTGGCTCGCTCTCATTTCAGATCACACAAACTCCACAGAAATCTCTGGAAGACAAATTGGGCTCTAAATAACCCATGTTTGGGGGCTTTCCAACCTAGCAGCTTGACATTCTACGTACCTTAGGCTCATCTCATCAAGTAACCTCAAACACGAAACCATTTTATTCAATTACTATAATAAGGCCCATTGCAGAAAGAAATGTAACGAGCTCTAGAAAGAGTGCTCTGGGAGAGTGCTCTGGCCTGCAGCAGTCGCTCCCCCCCCCCCGAGCGCCATGGCCACACCACTGCTTCTATGGGCGGCCCTCTCCTCCACCTTGCCCCCCCTCCCCAGCCATCCCCGTGGAGAGTCCCGTCTGTCCCTTCCGTCGGCTCCGAGCACACTGACCCAAAGACAGTGGCTGCCGCTTCTGTAGGCAGGACTCCACAACCCAGGCAGCCAACGCAGCCAGTGACTTCTGAGTGGCAGTTCAGGCAGCCAACTGATTTTGGCGCACATAGAACTTTGCCACTCGAAAATGGAATTATATACAAGGAGAGATGCTATCTATACAAACAGAACACAAAAGTGAAATCCCCTCATATGAAACTCTTATACCCCAAGTTCTTTTATATGCTCTCTAAGCAGCTACCTGAGTTCAAATTATAAATACCCCTCCCACCACAATTTGCTACCACCAGATTGTTTAGTAATGTTCCCCACGAGGGTAGTCACACTGTCTATGAATGTCCACAGCCCCAAGAAACAGTCCCCCCTCACCTGCCCCTCAGCATGAGATCAGAAAACGTCACCTAACGAATTAGCACGGTAATTAAAATATAAGGGAAATTCTTACGCTAGGTAGCACAGTCACGTACAGATAAAGGAAGTACTTCAGTTACTGGTGATAGTTTTCTTTGGGTGGACGCTAGTACTCCGTTCTTGAGAGACGGGGACAACCTGCAAGTATATATTTTTAAAATTACCAATTTAAAAGTTTTGTCAAATATTCTTACTCATTAGACACAGAAGTAGCAACGATTCAGAAATATCTGAGCATACGCTGCACAAGTAATTTGCAGAATAATTCAAAATACCAACCTCAGTCTGCAGAGCCTGGCTTGCAAACTGAAATCCCCAGATAACATTGACCAGTGACCTTCCCTGGGACACAGGGAAGTGTGATTCCATTAAGAAACCCTATTGCGAATGCAAGCTCTCAGTGGCTTCTGATGCCATGGTGTCTTTCTGATCCAGCTGTTCAAGATGGGAATCAGCAACTCTGGTCTCACCTAGCCAGCTAGTACAAGAACCGCTTAGACTTCTGGCAAGTGTGCTGTGGGATCCCACATGATTCTGCCTGTCTTCTTTAACGTCCACATAAAACTGCAGGCAGTGACTGTCTGGAGGTTCTGAATGAGATGTCACCCCAACAACAGTCAACTATACTTCCCTTTGTCAGCCAAATCAGGGGAGATGGCAGACATTCTGAAATAGTGTCTACTGGGGGTAATGGATTGTATGAGGGCCAGTAAACTGAAGCGCCAGCCAGACAAGACCGAGGTGTCCCTGATCTACAGTCAAAAGTGGATTCAGGAGACAGCCTGTCCTGGATAGGATTCCACTCCCACTGAAGGAGTAGATTCACAGCTTGAGGGTGCTATTAGTTCCATACTTTTACAGCCCTCTGACATATACCTTTGGCCCAAGTCCTGCTGGTGTGCCAACTATGGCCTCTCTCATATAGGCTGGATCAGGCTTCAATTATCCATGCTCTAACCACATCCAAATTAGGTGACTACAACAGACTCTACATAGGACTGGCTTTGAAGACTGTTTATGAGTTTCAGTTGGTGCAAAATAACATGAAGAGACGAGTGCTAACTACCAGGAACCTTCCATGGAGATAGATCAAGATAGGTAGCCGTGTTAGTCTGTCTGTAGAAGAAGAAAAGAGCAAGAGTCCAATAGCACCTTAAAGACTAGCAAAATTGGTGGCAGGGGAGGAGCTTTCGTGAGGTCACTTCTGCATGCAGCAAATATGCTCACCGCTATTTCAACATCCTCCTTTAAAACCTGGCTTATGCAATTTACTCTACTGCTTCTACTGGTGGCCCTGGCCTTGTGTCCAGTGGTCAATGTTACCGGCACCATTCAGAAGAAGTGCATCATAGTACAGCTACCAAGGCGCTGCTGTATGCTGCACTTAGCATTTTTTAAAAAAAATTAAACCTTCAACTTGTAATATTTGTGATATTTTATTGTTTTACTATCACGTTTTATGTGACCTGTAACCCGCCCTGAGCCCGCTAGCAGGGAGGGCAGGATATAAATTAAATAAAGTGAACAAATAAATGTTTCACTTGTTGTTGTAGATTTTTCGGGCTTTATGGCCGTGGAAATCTACAACAACTAATGAACCCCGGCCGTGAAAGCCTTCAACAACGTAAAGTATTTCATTGCTCTTTATTTTGTGTGAGCCGGTCTTACTGAATTACTCGTTGCCTTCAGCCTCAACGAGCAAAGCGGACAAGAAACGAAACGAAGCACTCCTCCTGTCAGACAGGCGTCGCTGAGAAACAAGCAACCAGCCTCAGGTCGTCCCAGCCTAGCGGGGTTTTTGAACCCAGATCTCCTCGGGTCGGTCTCCAAAACTGTAGCCACCACGCTGAGCAAGAGCCCAGAAGCACCTTAAAGACTAACGAAACAGGTGGCGGGGTTACCCATCTTGATCTACGCTGCTTAGGGGCAGGTAGACTGCCTCCGGCTGTGGAGGTTCCATTCAGCCCGGGCCAGACAGGCTCATACGCACGCGCACAGCGGCCGCCCCCTCCCTTCCCCCCCCCCGCCCCTCACCAGGCAGAGCTGAAGCGACCCCGCAGCCGCCGCCTCAGGACCTCTTCGAAGTTGTTGATGAGACGCCGGTAGCTGCCCTGGCTGCCGCGGCTGCCATGGAGACTCAGAGGCCGGGGCGCCGGCGGGCGAGCCCAAGCGAAGCCGCAGCGGCACGACCCGCCTGACGGACAGCCGCAGCCCCAGGCGCCGCAGAGCGGCTTCCGGCTCCGCCTCCAGGACGCGGTCCGCCGCTCCCCCATTGGACGATTCAAACCCCCCCGGCTCCGCCCCACGAGCCCCGTCTCGCGGCCGCGATGAAAGCGCGCGTGCGCAGCCTCCCCCCCGCCGCTCCCTCCTGCCGCCGAGCCCTGGACCCACGCCCAGCACGGGGGGCGCGGCGTCATAAGAGCCCCGCCCCCAGCCGAGGCGTAGGACGGTCGCTATGGAAACGGCAACGCCGCTGGGCCTCAAAAGCGGCTTCGCTCTTTGGCGGGCGATAGCGGTGCTTTTTTAAAAAAAAAAAAAATAATCATTCTTTGTGAAGATGGCTCAACACAACACAGTTTAGGGTTTCCAAGGCAAGAGACCTTCAGAGGTGGTTTGCCATGGCCTGCCTCTGCATAGTTTGGTGTTGTGGTTAAGTGCGCGGGGTGGCAGGGTGATGTCTCTACTTATGTCCTGATTCATCCGGGTCAAGACATAAATTCCATCCCTGATCCCCTGAATAGCTAGTTCAGACATACGTCCCGCCTCTCATTTCCCCTCACAAGGCTCATTTTAAAAGCTGCTTTCTCTCTTCCACCACAACTGCACAATCCAGGCCCCGTTCACTCGGAGAATTTGCCGCACGAAAGGCACGACTGCTGGGCACCACAACATCTGGCAAGCGTGGCGCACCCATGGCCAACATGTGGCTGAAGATGCGCAGTTAAAAAGTACCTGCAAAGATCTACTAGCAAATGGTTTGCCACGGGCTGCAGACGGACTCCTTCGGTGTGATCGCACCTGTGCGCGCCTATTCCCTCCAGCCGTCCTCTTTGCAGCAAAGGGCGAAACCCTGGTGCGCCACCATCACGTCTGATCGCATAATGGTGGATCAGAATGCAATGGCACAAATAACCACGCCTCCCCCCCCCATGCGTTTTTCAGCACGTGTGGCCGGGGCCCCAGTATTGTTAATGCACATTTATTTATAGTCTGCCTTTCCTATAAAGACTTAAAGTCAAATGTTGTCAAGAGGATGTGATATCTAGTAAGCAATGTACTTGGGCTCGGTGTATCGATGTTTGAAACAAAGCATAAAGCAAGATCAGTGGAGGGAGTAAGGAAGGGGAAAAGAGGGATAGAGAGAGAGATGGAAAGAAAGCAAATAAATGGGAGGGAGGGAGGGAGAAAGAGGTGGAAAGAAAGCAACTTTAATTTTAAATGTGTTCTCCACCACCACCCTGTGTTTCCATGCCAGTCAGCTTGGCTTGGAGAAGGGATTCGAAGAAGGAGATTGGATTTATACCCCACCCTACACTATCCAAGGGAGTCTCAGAGCGGCTTACAAACTCCTTTCCCTTCCCCTCCCCACAACAGGCACCCTGTGAGGCAGGCGGGGCTGAGAGAGCTCTTGACAGAAACTGCTCTTTTTCAAGAACAGCTGTGCCAGAACCATGGCTTGCCCAAGGTCAGCAGGTGCAAGTAGAGGAGTGGGGAATTAAACCCGGTTCTCCCATATTAGAGTCCACGCACTTAACCACTACACCAAACTGGCTCTCTGAGCCAGCCAGCCATTTAACTTTAGATGGGGAGGGAGGAGAGAGAGAGGGAGAAAGGTGGAAAGAAAGCAAATAGATGGGGGGACGGGGGAGAGAGAAGTGGAAAGAAAGCAACTTTAACTTTAAATGCATCCTCCAAGTTCCCCTGCCCCCACACCAACTGGCTTGGCGAAGGGGTTTAAAGAAACTGGCTGGTGTAGGGAGGGGTCTTTGAGAACACATTTAAAGTTAAAGCTGCTTTCTTTCTCTGCTCCCCCCCACACACCTCAAGCCTACCCAGGGAGTGGAACACTGGAACCCGGTTCTCCCATATTAGAGTCCACGCACTTAACCACTACACCAAACTGGCTCTCTGAGCCAGCCAGCCATTTAACTTTAGATGGGGAGGGAGGAGAGAGAGAGGGAGAAAGGTGGAAAGAAAGCAAATAGATGGGGGGACGGGGGAGAGAGAAGTGGAAAGAAAGCAACTTTAACTTTAAATGCATCCTCCAAGTTCCCCTGCCCCCACACCAACTGGCTTGGCGAAGGGGTTTAAAGAAACTGGCTGGTGTAGGGAGGGGTCTTTGAGAACACATTTAAAGTTAAAGCTGCTTTCTTTCTCTGCTCCCCCCCACACACCTCAAGCCTACCCAGGGAGTGGAACACTGGCTGGGGAAGGGAAGACCGGTCAGGGAGGCATGCCTCCCCTTCACTTCCCCAGCCGCCCTGCCGGGAGCCATACAATATGTGCAAAAGAGCTGCATGCGGCTCCCGAGCTGCAGTTTGGCCACCCCTTGCCCTACGGGATCACCGTAAGTCGACTGCGACTGGACAGCACTTTCCACCCCCACCATAATCAAAGGAACAGCTGGAAATGCAGACCTGCACAGATAAACGCAGAGCATAGCCTACAAAAAGGAGGTCGACTATAGCGGGGGGGGGGGCAAATGATGGTCCCAAGTGACTTAAAGAAGCCAGCCAGGCCTCACATACAAGAATGAGTGACGGATCCCAGTTGCGGGGGGCGGGCTGAATTTCCTGAACCAAAAGGACCATCAGTTATAATATGAACAGAAATCTCAGCTCCTGGCTCTTGATTTGTTCCTCACCCTGCATGGTCACCAAGCATCCCTTCTCTAGCAGCCCCTGATGAACCCTGCTGCAAAGAGGGAAGCGGGAAGGAAGAGGAACACAGAATCATAAGCCACACCCTCCTGCCTTCTGGGACTCTCAGGTGAGCAATTACCTCCTCTCCTAGCCTGTGGCATCGTTTAATTCCTTGCAGCCACTCCACTACAGCACCTCCGTGAGACTAAGGCCTGTTTGGGTCATGCAGAAGGAAGTAACAATTCAGTGGCAGAGATCTGATCTCAACCACTTGAGGCTGCAGGTGTGTAGGGGTGGGGCAGCTTTGAACATTCCTTTACATAAAGAACCCTGAGCCGAGAAAACTAGCACATGAGGGATAAGGGTTCTTTCCTTCGCCATGCTCGTTTTCTGTTTGCAGGGAGTTTTTAAACACGGGGGGACATTCCAAAATGTGATTTAGCAGCAGCAGTCTTGAGAACGGGCAAACCACTGTCCTACCATCCCATTCCCCTGGCCTGAGTGAACCAGGTCCAAGATGAGAATCAGCCATTGTAAGTATGAGAACATATCATCCGTGTGCATAATCTGCATACACCCCAGGACTGTGCACTGGCAAGGATGCTGCCGCCGCCACAGGTGTCACTCTGAGTCCCCATAGCCTTCTGCAAGAGTGCCTTCCCACGGGTGACCAGGCCAGCATCTGCTGTCTTGTATGAGGGATCCCTGTGCCCTATTTTTGGGCAGGAACGCACAGGAACGGAGTTCCGGCTGGCTTCAGAGTTGGCCACGCCCACTACAGCCAAAACCTCTGTGTGCCTGGCTACGGAGGGAAGGCCTGGAGAGCGACCCACCCTGGCCTCCATGTGTCTTCCCCAGCCTGTCCAACAGCCAGCTGGCCTGGGCTCCCTGCAGCTGCGGGGTGCCCAGGCAAGCCAAGGGAAGGCAGTTTAAACTGCTTTCCCTTCCCTTCAAGGTGGGGCTTGCCTGGGCTCCCCGCAGCCATAGGGCACCCGGGCAAACCAAGGGAAGGCATGGGATGTGACCTAATATGCTAATGAGTTTCTGCTGTTGGGTGTGGCCTATTATGCTAATAAATTCCTGCTTCCTGCTGGGCTTTTTCTACAAAAAAAGCCCTGCCTGCGACCCTTTCCAAGTCACACAGAGGTCTGAGTTCCAGCTTGGGTATTCCTTAAGACAGCTACTTTCTTCCCGAACTCCTCTTCCCAGCTTCTTGGTCATTAGAGACAATACACGGTCACCTCTTTACTGAGAAAACTTTCCAGGACCCCCACCAAGTCGTTTCACAGGTCTTGCCACCGGGAAGGTCCAAGAAGAAAGATTTCCAGCCAAGGGCCGGCACCTGACTGATCCCACATTCTGTACTTGTTTCCTGACTGGCTTACTTTGAATCTTCTGGGCTGCCCCATCAACTTGAGCCGTCACAGCCTCCTGCCGCCGCTGCTTCTTTCTCCGCCTCCTTCCAGCGGCCACACAGAGCCAAAATGAGAATCTGAAAGCTCCCTGTTCAATCTCACCAGCGCCATGAATGGAAAAGCACAGTCTTATGCAAGGTCTCTCCCAGCCCCTGGCTCCTTTCCATGCCCCTCCACTCATCCAACAAACTTGCAATATTTCCCCCCTTACAAAGGTGCTTGGAGAGGGACTGTGGCTCAGTGGTAGAGCACCTGCTTTGTATGCAGGTTCAATCCCCAGCATCTCCAGTTAAAAGCATGTGATGTGAACGGGTCATTTCCTGCAGGAGCGCACAGGAGCGGAGCTCCGGCAGTAAAGAGCCCAGGGGGTGGGCACATACAACAAGCCCCACCCCCTGCTCCCAGCAGCCCTCAGTCAGAACAAGAAGCAGTCAGGTAAGTTGCAGAGCCCCCCCCCAAAAAACCAGTCCAGTGGCACCTTTAAGCCCAAATTTTATTTAGGCACAAGCTTTCCCTCCTCTGCGAGGACAGATCTGCATGTCCCCCCCCCCCCCATAGCTAGCAATCCAAAACAGTTCAGTGGAGCCTGAGCGGTGGGTGTTGCCTTCTGACACACTTCCGGTGATGTCAGGGGGTGTGGCATATGCAAATGAGTTATGCTAATGAGCTCCTGCACCTCTTTTTCTACGAAATGACCCCTGGATGTGAAAGATCTCCCATGGAGAGTGGCTGCCGGTCAGAGAAGACAATGCTGACCTCGATAGACCAAGGGTCAGACACACGATAAGGCAATTTCATGCATTCAAGTATTCTGTCCCTACCGTCACTCCAAGAGATATTTCACTACAGAAATGCTGCACACAAAACAGAGACGAGGACAAGATTCTGCCAAACAGCAGCAAACATACTTTATTGCAAGTATAGTTTCTTCCTCTCAAGTCTAGAGAGAAAAACCATAGGGGTTTGGATCCCTGACATCGTTGCACAATCAGCTCACTATATTGCAAGCAGTCTATGGAACAAGTCGGAAAATCGAGGAGGGCATTGTCCTTTCACAGAGAGTGCAAACGCCTGCATGAGGAACTGGCAACGCATACGTCAACTCACAACTTCTCCAAATTGCCATTGGTGGCATAAGAGGAATTATCACAAGAAGGGAAGTTCCAACTCAATATGCCACCACCCAGCATATTAGCACGGAAGCAAGTCTTTGATTTCAGCAGAACTCCCCCCACCCCAATAGTATATATAGGCAAAGGACTGCTTTGAAAATGAGGGGGGTTGGGGGAAGACATCAAATACATTTCTGAATTTTGCATTACGTCAGCTGAAGAGCAAATACAGATTCAATTTCAGCTGCAGTCTTCTGGTAATATGCAATGAAGTAATCCCATTGCCTTCAGTAGAATTGTTTTTGGCTTGCAAATCAACCCAACTTTTGAGTGCTGGTCAGCTCGGGAACGCAGAGGGCTTTTCACTGAGTAGTCCCACTGGCATCCATTGTTGCATCCATGGCACAATCCTATTTATGTTTATTTAAAAGTAGGCTCCACTGTGGCCAAGTGTAGTTACTCCCAAACATAAATACGGCAGGCTAATTCTGTGATTCACATTGAAGATTACCAAGTCCCACAGAAACCAACAAAGCCAAATTTGCTTGAAGTCGTATCTATTCTACAGACTTATACCTAGGCTTACACATGTCTTCCCAATCTCCCCAAACCACTGAATTACCATTAATTCTTACAGTAAGTTGAGAAGGTAGAAGAAGAAACCCAACACTTCTCTTGCAACGCTGTAATTCCAAGGATTTCTTGCTCATTAAGCAATAACCGTTAAACTGACTTAAAATCATAGAATAAGCACGCTATCCTAAGAGTCAGGGGTACTTTACATTTTACCAGACTTCCATATGTAAGTTAAGTGCTGCCTGTGTATAGACCCTAAATATGGGATAATCACATCTATGCAGAAATTTGTATTTGTGCCATTCTCACAGGTTACAGTCTTTTTATATGTGGCGGGAGGTGTTGGCCCCACCTCCCCCAGATGCATCAGCCCAGGGATGCTACCCACGTGGTCCCAGATAGCAAGGGGAGGGGAGTTGCCCTGGACACCTGGTTCGCCCTGTACTAGGTGGCTTCCCTCCCACCCAGGCAGGGGACCTCCTCCAGGCACTCATAAAGGCAGTTCCACAAACTGCACACCATAGAATAAGCACGCTGTCCTAAGAGTCAGGGGTACTTTACATTTTACCAGACTTCCATATGTAAGTTAAGTGCTGCCTGTGTATAGACCCTAAATATGGGATAATCACATCTATGCAGAAATTTGTATTTGTGCCATTCTCACAGGTTACAGTCTTTATATATGTGGCGGAAGGTGTTGGCCCCACCTCCCCCCAGGTGCATCAGCCCAGGGATGCTACCCACGTGGTCCCAGATAGCAAGGGGAGGGGAGTTGCCCTGGACACCTGGTTCGCCCTGTACTAGGTGGCTTCCCTCCCACCCAGGCAGGGGACCTCCTCCAGGCACTCATAAAGGCAGTTCCACAAACTGCACACGTCCCCTGGCCTTTCCCGAGAGGCAGGGAGCAGATTTACCAGCTAATCACCTCCACCGCCAGTCCTACCCAGAGATGGCACTGAACAGCTGAAAATTCAGCAGCAGCTCTTTAAAGGGGTAATGTGTCCCCCCGACACCCAAGAGACGTGTCCCACTTGCCTTACCGTAGTTCCCAGTCAAAGCCAGAGATCTCCCTAACCCCTGCCAACACTCATTTTGACCAGGAATTGCCTTCTGAGTAGGAACTCAGCTACCCACAAGCCATTTCTTAGCTGGGCAGCAATTCAGGAGTGTAGGAGGTACTCTGTTTTCACTGATTACAGAATGCGGTTGCTCTAGCCAGGAGGAACATTTCCAGAAATGTCCTCCATTTTCAAAGAGACATTTCGTAACTGTTTGCTGCCAGCTTATATTACACTATCTGAGTCTGCCTGCAGGTAACACAGAAGCCCTAACTAGAGAACGCATCCCCGAGAAAGAAGCTGAGCCACTTTGGAATCTATTGGGGGGGGGGGAATGTTCCAAACCCATTGCCTTTGAAGAGCTGGAAGTGCATTTCTTCTACAGCTGTCCCTTCTTTTCCATCATACAAGGTGGTTCTTTTGCCCAGTGCCCATTTCCTCGATCTTTTACTGCAAGTATCTGTGCCATTACAGTGCTTCCAAACAGTCAGGAAGACAAGACATTTAGGGCAAGTCAGAAACAAAACCGGAAGTCGGATCTCAAAAGCAGAACAAAAACAGATGACACTGCAGTCCGTACAATCAATCACAGGTGCTCTCCACGCACATCTAAGACCAGAATTCTCTTGCCAAGTATAACGTCTATTGTGTACCTCTAGCACTTTATACTTCCTATGAAACATGGCCCACGCTTCTACTGTTTCCTGGCTCCCCAAAAAACCTTTACTATCTCTACACGGGGCATTCCAGTTAGTTCATTTCAGTCCCTTCTCCATGATCTTCTTTCTTTCTTTTTTTTTTTGCTTGCAACTCAAACGGCTTTTCTCTACAAGCATGTCTTGGGCCGCAGGTGACGGTTGCAAGTCAGCACTAGAAGACATCAGTTAGTGGCTCCGGCATGTCCAATGGCTGCCTCCATATGACGGTACCAAGGCTGAATCTTGGTGTGAGTCATCATGTCGTCAAAAGCTTCCAGTCCCTCCATGACTCGTAAGACTCCGTACACAGCCTGTGCAGACGAGAAAAGGAGGAAGCCCGTAAAACTGGCTCAAAAACCATCATCTGTAAGTCTAGCCTGGAGGGGCTGTAGCACAGGTTCAGCCCCCAGCATCACTAGTTCAATGATTTCAGGGACCAGGGCTGGAAAAAAAACCCTCTTCTCTGCCTAAGCCCTTGGGAGAGCCACTGCTTGTCAGAGGAGACGATACGAGGCTGGATGAGCAGAAATCCGGCTCCGTATGATACAAGGACAGGGCAGAGCATCGGTTTTTACCATGGAAGAGGGTAGGTTTTAGTAAGACCCATTATAGGAGGCCAACCTTCCCATTAGGTAGTAGGCAATATCCCATGATTTGTAAGGCCACCTTCTGTTGGTTTAAGAGTACGCCGGCGTTTGAGTTTCTGCCATACCAGCAAAGTACAACATGCCACACCAGCAAAGTACAACATGAAATAAACGGAAAACAGTGTAAGAGCTAAATACACAAACACGCCACTGTGTAAAATGGCTTTGCCAAACATCAAATAAGTCTTATTGCACCATTCAGTAAATGTATGTTACATTAAAAAGACTTATTACTTCTTGAAAATGGCGGCTAATCAGCTCAGTAAATATACATACAATGTTGCCATCAACCATGAAACCAACCGTATAAACCAACCACCTGGCAAACATGGCAACGGGAAAAGGTGCCCGGAAAAAAAGGCGCTTATGT